GTTTAATAATTTATTGCAGAATGGCAAATATCTTTCAAGTATTCATTACATAATTATGAAAATAAATTAACACCCATAATCACAACTAGTTGAAAACTGTGTCCAACACTTGTAAATTTTTTATACTAAAAATTTATGAAAGCTATGAATTACGTAATATGGCTAGCTAATTATATTATATACTCGCAGTGCGATGTAGAAAATATGATCAAAATTTGATTTCTTTCAGAAATTAATTACATCATTACTGAATTAAATTGACGCCCATGATCAGAAATAGGTGAAAAGCTGACTCAAAAACAACCCTTGTCATTTATTTTGACTTCAATGTTATGAAATCTATTGCACATATATCGCTAGATGATTATGGTATACTTACACCACTTTGCAGAAAATATGGTTAAAAATTAAGTAGATAGAATTATGCTCACTGCTTAAGACATGAACGACTAAATATTGTATCAGCACCTACTAGTCCATGCTTCAGATGATTGCCGATACCAACTTGAGTTAGAATCTGTCAATAGGATTGATTATACTATTAGAGATCAATATCCTGCTTATTAAGCCCATCAACGCTTAATTTGAAGACTATGACAATCAAGACTGCATATTATAAGTACAGAAGAATTACTTGTTAAAATGGGATCAATGATAGTTTAGGCGATTTTCATTTTAAAGTTAACGCCTAAAAACTTCCATATTTTACGTACAATGGGAGATTGCCATTACTCTCAGCTAAATGGATCAGCGGCATCAATATTATGCAGGTATAAGCGAGAGATTCATTAAAATGGAATTGCTCATGGATAAAGCGCGTTTTACAGTATTTTAAGATTAAAGTCTACGTATTTGTCTTTTGACCATAAGAGGGCATATACATTACTTTCAACTAGGATAGATGCCTCGTATTTTGAACTTCAGATCCTAGCCATTTTAAGGCAGATAGAGATGCAAAGGTATCTATTTGATCAATGGCATTATGATATAACTGGTAGCAATTAGAAACTTAGTTAACATGACGTAATAAAATGAATATGCATAGATCAATTGAATATTGGATAATGTCATAAATCCAAGTTTAACTTGAGTCTATACACGTAGTTTCTTTCGTTTAGCATTACTATTCAGTCCGCATAGAATGAAATCATTGCAGTAGTCATAATGAATTATTTCTCTATTTCTTAGCCGATAGAGATGATAGAATTCTACTAGCGGTTAATCAAGGATCAGAAAACGGGAAGGTAGGAGTACTGTGATTAGAATTCAATTGAATACCGGTAATGAGTCATGCCTTAATGAGGGGAAGTCTAAAGTTGTCTGTACGATACTAGTTAAAATAAATCATGCAGTTAACTTATGACTGTCATGCTGTTATTATTTCCTGAAATTGTTCCTATACATCATCATGAAGAATATTTCAGCTAGTGATGACTACAATAACATACATCACTGTAACAACTAATGATCAGCCGAGTTGTTACCAGACACCATGTATACATCACGTTTTATGTATTTGCTTTATTTTTCAGTAGCCTAGCAGACGATTAGTCATTACCGTACCTAATTTAATAGGCTACAGCCTTTTATCACAGTAATTAGATCTAGTATAGAAGTAGGGTACAGTAATGGTTATGAAGGCGGTATATAAATACTATAAAATCGGGTATTAAATTTATTAACGAAATACTGTTTCTAATAGCAATCTACAGTAGACTTGAAAAATTTTGCTACTAGTACGGTATTATCGACTATCTATGTATTGGTTATAATAATATTTTACGGAACAAGTGATGTTCTAATTATGATTATAGAAATATTCAATAGTCTAATTCTCAGCCAGCAATATAAATCAGCGTAAAATTTCCGCTTATATAGAATAGGAAATCATGGCCAATGGATTCATGAGTGTATAGGACTGATATCGTTATTAAGATCTTTTAACATCAATTCCCGGTACATCTATGGAAGGCTTGTAATCTAATGCTTGTTGGTAACCATTTTTATTCTCTTGCCCATCTAATCGTGATTTCCGATTTTATTTATTTAGGCTGTATTTACGTCAGCGCCAAGTCTTTAAGACTAGGCCCCCCGTGGATGATGATGACGAAATCTCTTCGTGTCCGATCCTATTTTTGACATATCTGCTTGAGGTGAAGTCATTCAAGGGTAATAAAAATAAACAATTTTACCACCTGCTTCTACAGGCCAATATTAAGTTAAAAATTAAAGTCGTATATAGTCATATATTTAAAAATCAAATTGATTTTTTCAGTCAATAATCTAGCCAGTTTGTGACATCGCTGTAGATTATTAAATCACCGTCTATTAATAAAAGTCTATTTCAACGATCGCTATAGCTTGGATCACTTCACTTATTCGATAACATATACGGCTGAAGTTGAATATTCTCTATCTTGAAAGCCATCAAATCGTTTCATCTCTTGTAATTGTTCTCATTGAATGTAAGTATGATTCAAAATATTAATTATACGGTATCCAACAACATTGACATTATAACAACGTTGAATTGAGAATGTTTTTATTCTACTCAAAAAAGCATGTTTTATTTTTTCTCCTTATACATGTAATTCAGGTATATCTTTTGCTACAGAATAACAATTGTATATCAACGATAATCTCCAGTAAAATAACTTAATAAGTTGATAATATTCACTCATATTGACAATTATTATTATTATTGAAATTATTGACCATTTTTATTTTCAATATTGCTGCAATACCAAATCGATTAATCAAGACAATCAATATTGATGATAATTGCAAATATATTCAATTGTCTACTTTATAATTAAATTCTTTATTTCATTCAAGACAATTTGCTAATAGGTAGCCAATAAATTGTGTACCTAGAAGTTTATTTATAACTTGATGATGTAGAAGTTATAGGACTTCGTAGAATACACCTACAGGAAGGTCTTAACATAAACTTTATTGTAGTCACGTTGAAATCCCGATAGTAGTGATAATTAATTGTTAATAATAATCCTAGCATTACTTAAGCTAGGTATCATTGTATTTAATTTTTCAAGAGTCACTTTAATTTTCTGCCGCTAGCTCTATAACGTGAGATTGAAATAATTATTTACCAAATATATTGGTCATACCGTAGTACATCGTCATATCAAAGTTCAAATTGTTACTTCTAGTGATCGCTGAGTTATTGTACGTTACTTGGTTGACGGTAAAAGTGGAAATTTGCGCCTAAAAATGCGTTACAGTTGGAAAAAGTAGAGCGAAAAAAAATGAATTTATATTCTAGTCCCTTCCAAGTGGCTGGTGAATTTAATCATGTCTAAATGTGAGCGACAACTGTTTTGATTTACGGTAGATATTGCGATAATTTGTATATACAATTAGAAAAGTTTAAATTAAATAGCTAATTTTTATCGACATGTTTTTTAACAATTAGTAGCATTGTTCATTTAATATACGATCAAAGGCTACTCTAATTGACTAATTAATTATGATTACTATGCCTGCAAAACTGAAAATGATCCCTTTAAGCTCATTTACCGAGTACATTTATAAAATAGTAGCGTTGTAACCTTAACAATTGAGTACGTTAGTCGATACCGAAATACTGAATAATTAAGTTTTTTCAATTCAAAATTTAATAGTAACATTAAGAGTGAAGAAGAATAGATGAGTCATGATATTCAGTAATTCGCTTTCAAGGTGAAAGTCATAGTGGATTAATAGTTCCACTACTAAACAAGATGATTACTGTAGTAATTGACAGAAATTCCTGGCTATCTTTACTGTAAATTAATTATCTTTTATCTTTTTAGAGTCAGTAGAAGAGTTATTATAAATGGAATATACAGTGTTAAAAATTTGAAATTAAACTGCAATTGAGCGTTTTCTCAACATTAACTGTTCTAGAAGGCTATTACACTAAATTTTATTGAAAATGTACCGTAGATAGATCATACTGACCTAAATTCTGATGATTAAATAATGATTATAGAAAGCTACTATATTATATTAAACTATAGTATATCGGAAGCGTCTCATAGGTAGACTATATACCGTTGGAATATTAAAATTTTTACTGCAGTTTTACCACAATTAGCCGATATTTTAATCGTACTGAAAATAGTATAACATTTTGCATATAGTACATAAATTGAAATTTAGGATAATTAAATATTGATGATAAAATCAACTAATTTTATGACAGTCATCTCAGTATGTACTTATTACCATATAATACCATATGTATAAGTACATCGAAAAGCTAATTGATATGGATGAAAAGTGCTGAGTATTTCTAATCTTTTGAATATGATCCAATGATTCTAGTGGTATTAACAGACACTTCATCTAGCTCGATTAGCTGATGGCATAGATATATTACAATTCGTGCTGATCAATGATAGTATGTTTAAAGAATTACGCATCTAAACTGATAACAAGTTTTTAAGATTATGACAATCTTTTTTTGCTTTCTTGATGGAATCGATTTCAGACGGTAATATTGAGTAGATCAACTAACCATTAGTTATCCCAATAGTAACATAGCAATTACCCACTTCATTTTAATCTGATTACTGTCTTAATTTTATTTTATTTTTTTTTTCGTTTGTTTCTATACAGTAACCATCTTTTATTAATATTGAAAGATTTGCGCTTGTATGGATATGAATGCCTATAATGCCAATGGTCAAAAGAATTTAACACCTACCAACGATTTAATTACGCCACATCCTGGCACTACACATTCCGTGTATGCTCCTGATAATAATTACAGTAGTTATGAAGTTTATAGAGCTGGCCATCCTTATCCGACGATTGCTCCACCACATCTTTCGTTACAGATGATGCCATCACATGCTAGCGGCGATCAATATCCTAATGTTGCTGCGGTGCCTGTTGCCGTTGCTGCTAAGGACCATTCGGTTTCTTTAATGTCAAGTCATACTGGAGCGCAATTTTATTCAACTCCTGGTGCTGTTAGCCAACGCTATTCAACAGCAATGACTAACCCTGCTACTGGAACTGCTATTGCTGCACCTAGCACGACTAAAGATAATGCAGTTAAACCAGCTTATTCCTATATTGCATTAATTGCTATGGCTATTAAGAGCAAGCATGATCGCAAAATTACCTTAAATGGTATTTATCAATTTATCATGGACCATTTTCCTTACTACAGACAAAATAAGCAAGGATGGCAAAATAGTATTAGGCATAATTTAAGCTTAAATGAATGCTTTGTTAAGGTACCGCGTGAAGAAGGTGAAAAGCGACCGAAAAAGGGCAACTACTGGACATTGCATCCAGATAGTGAAAATATGTTTGAAAATGGAAGTTTTCTACGGCGACGTAAACGTTTCAAGAGAAATTCTTCAAGTAGTAGCACTAGCAATACTAACAATAGCAGTAGTGAACTACAGCAGCAATCATATCATCATCAGCATCATCAACACCACCATCAGCAACAACAGCAAGACGTCAATAATAAATTATCAAATGATTGTTTAGCAAGCGATCATAAAGGTAAAGTATCGGATAAGAATCATCATGATAGTAATAGTAAATTATTAGATGTTCAACCATCTTCTTCATCATCTTCTACACGAAGTTTGCCTAAAGCTGAAATAGGTGAAACAACAGCAGTCAATAATGATGTTAATCGGTCATCGTCTCCACTACCATCAACACTCCACGACCAATCGCATCACACCCTAACATCATTAATTAATCAAAAAGATCATCCAAGTAAATGTAAAATTGAGAACGACGGCCATGATCAATCGAGCCATGAGAATAGCAGTATACCGCATACTTCGGTTGCCGATATCAATTCAACAGGTAGTGCTTCAGTAGGAACTTTGGGATCATCAAATTCAGCCAGATCAAGCCCCAATACTGCTAGTGGTAAAAATAACATGCAAAGAATTGTTAATTATCCCTTTGTTGATTACCCCGTCAATAAATGGCCTGGTGGAACTGGCAATCATTATTATACAGCTGGCACTTTATCCTATCCAAGCGGTATTGCTGTCGTATCACCTGGACAACTTTGTACTGCTCCAGCTGCTGTTTCCAGCCAATTTCTCGAAGCTCATAATACAAATCCAGTTGTAACCAAGCATGATGAATCGCAACAACAACAGCAATCACAACAGCAGCAGCAACAACAACAACATCTTATACCATCATATTGGCAATCACCAGCTGTTGCTACAGCAAGTACTAATCAGACACAAAATCATTCTAATAGTTATCGTGATATCTACGATATGCAACGTTACAGTGGTGGCCTTTGCACATCTGCTCCTCAAATTTATTCGAGAATGGGTCCAATGTAATACAATGGTCTAGGTTAATTTAAAGTATTTTATTTTAAAGTAATATGTCCATTACTATTCCACGATAATATCTCTATGATAATAGTAAGCTAAATCTAAATTAATATTACTTGTAAGAGAATAAGATCTTAATTGATGTTCGTATAGTAATATTTGTAGTCGTTGTTAAGGCTGTTTATAATAGCAAAAACTTTATTTACTGTACGCTTCTAATACAATTGTTGTGATAACTGTGATTTTAATTTGTTCTAGTAAGTGATTTTTTTATCTACTGCAGTATTTAGCCTATAATATATCGGACATTATTATTTCATATTTGTCTATTGTGGAAGCTCATTTTATACTGTATCTATCATAAAATTATCGTACGTAAACATTGCAATTGGATAAGAAAGCAAGACCGTAGGCTTATGGATTAGGTTTGTGATATTTTAGATAAATAGTAATAAAAATTTAATTGAAATTCCTACATTGGAATCACAGTTATTTTCAGTAGATTTTCTTTACCCTTTTGTATTTATATTTGACCTTTTAGAACTAGCTAAATCTGGAATAGATTTTGTAATTATTTTATCTCTATTGACAAATATGTTAATATTGTGTAAGATGAAATAGGACTAAAGGACAAATAAAACGTAAAATTTTGATTGCACTTTTTATGTCATTTATTTATTAATATACTTGCATTATACTATACTATCTTGGAGTAGACATGGAGTGTTTTTAAAATAAAGTGCTACAATAAACTTCAAGAATATTCACCATTTCTTCTGTGAAAGCTATCCTAACACGTTAGCCTTTGTTAAAAATATGCGAATGCAAATCCTTAACTTCATTAGTTTTTACTGTAATACGCTGGTAACATTTGCTATTCTAGGTAGCATCATGTGAATGACCGTATACATATTTTAAAATATTAAATAATAATTTGTGGCATTAATCTGATAATTAATACTTGAATTAGCCGCATTTTACTTTTAGGAGTAAAAAATCGTAATCGAAGGACGATTTTGAATTAAGTTTTATTGATATGTATATGATGAAGCTATGATGATACCTTTACTAAGAATGATATTTCCTGAATCGAATATTGCGTCAAGTGCTACTTTAGCACGCCAGACCCACTTTAAATACAAAATATCACTCAACTTCCAAATGAAATAACGAATAAATTTTAAAACACTAACCATTATAATTATTATTATTATGATTATTTATTAAAGTCAAAGGTTTCTTTCATTCATAAGCCAATAAATTAGATACTAAGAATAATTACATCAAGCAACTTGACACAATAACGGCATAATATTTATATCAACAGTTTTCATGTTTTTGTCCAATACGTCGATTTCATTTCAGTTTGCAAATTGCGAATGCTACACAACTGTTACATAATTATAAGCAGACTAGTAATAATAATAATAATAATAGATTCCAATGTCGAAGATTAAACAATTTTAATTGAGGGATATTCCCTCACTTACGGTACCACAGGGTACACAAATCGCACAATAAGGCGCTTTTTCGAACTGCAAATCAAATAGGTATCGGTTGCTGCACAATTTGTTTCATTCAACGTTAGAAACCGTAAATACAGTATGTTTGTACAATAAACGCTAACAGTATCATCTACGTAATTTCGAGTTAGCATATCCAAAATGAGACACCAATACAAAAAGAAACTAATAGCAATGAAATACTTCTAGAATATTGATCAGTGTATTTTGTACGAATTAATAAATTAGTCGCTATTTGAACATTACAAACTAGCTAAAACGATTAATATTTTATTACCTACTTAAAAAGTATCATACACATTCGTTGAACTAAAATGCATATCATATTACATACGATGATGATAATAATTGGGTCAAGAGTTAGCATTAGCTAAAATATGGGCTAAGTTCATGTTAAAGTAAAAATTGTACACATTTAGTCACAAAATCTTACCCAGTTTAATTCTCTCATCCTTGCTAAAATTATAAATAATTATTAGGGGTAAATCATAACTTTTGATCAATAAGCAAAGATATTTTCTTCACTTTCAATCCTCAACAGCTTCGTATGCGATTTTATCGCTTGTATCAAGTACAGGCTCGCCGGGGAGTAAGTTTACGCCAAAGAAATCTTCAGATGTAGATCTGGGAGAGTTATTACAGCTTGTCAGAATATCATCATTAATTGGTAACGATGGTGATGGAGTACTATACAGGTCGCCAGCAAATTCTTGTAACTGATCATCTTGGTAAGAATCTACATTTTGATTATTATCAAAAGAATGATTCGGTGAATTTCCCATCGATGATTCATTGCCATCATTTGATGTTTTGTGACTCGACATAGCTTTATCTGCGGATACTTCTTTATCATGAGATTTTAACGATATATCACTATCAAACATGTTGTCATCCTTACAAGAGTAAGGTTCATCATGTAATCCAAACGTAAAATTGTCTTTCTCCACATAACTGGGTGATTGACAGAATTGAGGTTCAGTCACGATCTGCTCTGTAGGAAAATTCTTAACTGTGGACGACAATTTATGGCTTTCCTCTTCACGGTTATTACGAGATTTTGATGCCTAATATCGATTATGTATTTGTTAAGATGAAAATATGATACCTTTTTTACTATTCTCCAAGATTTAAGCTACATGTCTTACCTTTGATGTCTTGCCAGGTTTACGTCCCCTCTTTTTTGGTACACCTTTTAGCTTCTCTTTCGTTTCTTTACGCTTCTTCTTGGTAGACTGTAAAGACGTAAATATTAAAAGCGCGCCTTTAACATATAAAACACAAAGGATTCTTACCGATCGCTTTTTCTTCGCTGGTGGTACCTTTATCGAAAGATTAACTTCTGGTATTGGCTTTCATGCAATATAAAGTATAAATTAAATAAAAGTCGTTATTACGGATTGATTTTCAATTTACTTACCTCTTTCCGTTTTAGAATATTCTTGTGACCTTTACTCTTTCTACTCTTTTTCTCAACAGTACTGGATTCTAGAAGATGAAAAATTTTTAGCTAGTTATAATGTTGATAGTACTATACCTTAATGCTATAAATCATACCTTGAGTCAGCTTTGGGAGCAGGTTCTTTTTAGGTTTTCTCCCTCTCTTACCTTTCTTATTAGTAATGGTAACCTTTAATGCGCTAACCTATTGTTATTACAAAAGGTTAGATCTAGCAGTCTTAGAAGTAACCATTATTAGCTTTACAATTGAGAGATAAACGTACTCTTTTAACTTTAAATCGATCAGGAGAGAAATCATCGTCAACAATTGCATCTTCGTTATCCTCTAGCGGACTTGCAGGATGAGAGGTTCCGGTAGGCCATATACCGTCAATTATTAATTTGCATAATAGTTCTAATCGTCGAATAATCAATTTGTCCTAATAAAAAGTAAAAGATTAATGTCAACGTAATACAACATGTTACCAACAATGAAGCATAAAGTGAAAATGCCACTAATCAGGATATTCAACGACTACTTAAAATAGTAAGAATTAAATAAAAATCCCAAACCTTTGGCCATTTATTTAATTTTGAAATGGAAGTGTCGTTTTCACGGTGTTTACTTTTCAATGATCCGGTATCTTTTACATCTTCTTTATCCATGATCGTAGCTATTTCTTTTACGTCATTGTGCTCTACCGCTTGATCAGCGTTATTACGGGAGTCGTCATTGTATTTTATTTCGTTCGAAGCAGTATTATTATCAGAGATATCGTTATCTTCATTTCTAGATTTTTCTATTAATACGATGTTGTCGTCGTAAGAATTAGTCTGTTTGCTTATTCCCCTATCATTTTCAGTTTTCACAGTAAAGAGAGGATTTGGGATCATAGACACTTCTGTTAAATTTTCTAAAAACATCAAGTATTTCGTTTAAGGATTTTTAGGCACAATGATTTCAGTGACAACAGTCCCCGAAAAACAAGAACGCAACATCTTTGCGGCTTGATAACTAATATCAGGTCAGGTAATTCAGGTATACCGCAAAGACTTACCATCATTAGTGGCAGCTGATGCTTGCACAGGGGACTCTGCAGTGGAAGCCTTTATTTCATTGGGTAATGTTGGAATTAATTTTCCAAATGACAAGGATGAGTCATTGCAGAGATTGAACTCAATACGGGTGACACCGTGTCTAAAATTAAATTAAATTAATTAGTGAAAAAGCCTTCTGTGTTTGCATTATGAAGAGGTTTCAGCATACCTAGCCACGCCGATTAATAATTCTTTATCATGCTGTTCGTAAATCCACCATGAAGGTAGATCACATGATTTCTCAGCTAGCATTAACCTTTCATCGAGTTTGGGATGCTGTAATACCTATTGCACATATTGCAATTAATAAAGCTAGTACACTTTCATATTATGCGTTATCATGAAATATGAAATCTTACTTCGCGCCTTATAGAGTTCAGGAGACGAATACGGCGAAGACATCGAGCCGCTTTTTCTTTCGAAATACGGCCGACGCTAAAATCGGCTTTATAGAAAATAGCATATAAGTTAAACGTACAAAGCGAAATCATAAACAAAACTTCGCTTACCAGTAAAATCACTTGCAGTACTTTTATTGCATACAGCTTCGCACATTCTAATAAAGTCTATATAGTATGCAGTTAACTTTTCGTTCGATTTCTTATCGAGTCGAGCTAATTGTCTGAAATTTTAAGGTCACAGCTTTAATAAAATAATAATCATCAACAATGATTTAATAAAGAGCTGTCACCGAAATTTCTCCCAGTTATAAACGTCTGTTCCTGATTCATATTCGACGCCAAATGTAGAAACAATACGATAAAAGTCCACTTCCTCACGTTTAGACCATCTAGTATCCAAAAATAAATTGTTTCGGCTTAGCTACACTCTTACGTAGATAAAATGTTTATATCTAACAGGAAAACATAGGACAAAAAGTTTACCTTGATGCCATCTCTATTTTCTTTAGCTTCCTTTGTCTTACTGCTTCTTCAAAACGCTCTTTCCTTTCACGCTCCTACGGTTATATCAAGAAACCATTTATTTGCTGATACATTTAAAATTTTTGTGGTATGTGACTCTACCTTTTCGGCGGCAGCTTTCTTGAGCTGCTGCTTCTTATGATTGCGTTGATATGCGGTTATAGCACGACGAAGGCGAGTATTTAATTCGGTAGAGGACGGCCATATATACTTTCCTTCGGCTGTTTTAATTATTACAATTATGGTTACTATTGAAACATACTCAGCTCATTTACATTCTGAACTCACCGAAAGAAGCATCTATTTCTTCGTTAATTTTCTAAAGAAAAATTTATCATATCAGCTAAATTTAGTATGTAAATAAAAGTATCGATGTGTTTGCATATACCCTTCGCTTCGGTTTCATAGTACGTTTGTCATCATTGCTGTAAATAGAGAAGCTTAAGTTAATATACAGTACAATTACGAATCAACTGATTGAATTACACATAGCATACTCTGAGTCGTAATCCATATCGTCGAAAGTATCTTTATTAGCTAACTTTTCATGAACTGAAGTAAGCTCAACCAAATCGAAGAAATACAACGCTGGATCAGCAGCTATTAGATCGTACTTTTCATAACCTAGAGAACAACAGTCGTTTAATGGCCAGGTCTTTCGAAAAAGTGAACAGTAACTGAGTATTTTTACCATGTTTAAGGACACCAATTAATAATGATTTGTCAGCTTCTTTATTCCACCATTTACAAGGAGGATCTCCTTCAATCGCTGGGATGTGCAACAGAATTTTACTACATAATAATAAAGAAACTTAGAATTCAACAATGAAAGTATTCTTTAGCAAATGTATTCACGAATTTACCTAGCCGCTGCTCCTGAGAATACTTGCTCTGCGATATCATTAGCAATATCGAAACGTAGATAGTACATGAGTCGAATCCTAAGTAAGATCCTAAACAAAAAATGTATAATATAGATGGATTACTTAGCAACTAAAAGCTGGATTATTAAGCAGGACTATACTTAAAACATACTTATTGCAGTGATGTCGCAAGTGTTTTTTGTATCCATCATCTTGAAGCAATACATCAGGACTATTCTTTGATTTCCACTATAAATAGGGCATTTTTAGACCAATTTTACATTGATATATCTATCTAGCCATATTTATAACTTACCTTAATAGTTGTGGGAAGTTCTACAGATTCCTGATTTTTATTCTTTCCTTTCCTACCACGCCTTCCTCGCCCAATCGGGCCGGCTACAACTGAAAATTTTTATAATCTTCATTTTTAAGGCTAAACTTAACCGACAGCGGTCGGTGGTATTCATATAACTCACTTTCTTTGGAAGTCCCAGTAGCACTTGAATCGACAATTGCGTGGACGAAGTCTTTGACTTTATCATCGCCATTATAGAATTGAGCACAATACAGCAGCTGCGAATAGTAAAATTTACGGAATTTATCAATAAACAATCTTGGAAATTCAATCAGTATCTATTTTTCGACTTAAGTAGATAATAGCTGCTCACAATTGTTTTTGAGATAGCTTCAATGTCTTTCTCAGTAAGCTTACGCTTAAACCGAGCCACTCTTAGTATATCCTTCCACCGTCCCCAGCTACAATTTATGCATATCCAGTTTATAATAAGGTATGGGTAGAATTACTGTAACGCATATCTATGTGTATTATAGACTTACCCGTATATTAATAAATACTTTTCTACACGAAAACATTCGACTCTACTCCAGCCTACTTGCTTTTTAGGGGTGTAATCAGGATCCAAATCTTCATCCGAAATATCATATATGGTATCATCTGTACCATACCGCTTCGTTTGACGTCTTTGCCGTGGTTCATTCAAAATTAATCCCTCCTGTGTGGCAGGCATTAATCGAACATGTTTTTATATTAATATTATGGAGCTACGCGTATTAAACAGATATATTCATTAGTAAATGATTACGGCTACCTTAGACTTGCTGTCATCCATATCCAAGTTAGCCTTCTGTGCCCACTTCTGCCAAAAGTTGGGGTCATCAATATCTATGTCGTCTTGATTATCTGAAGACACAAAGCTTGCCTAAAGAGATCAAATATCGTTAAAAATGGATCAATTAATTTAATTTCTAAACATTTGTTTAATTGCACCTTTGCAAAAGTCGACCCTTTTCCTTCACTTTCGATGTGAATAACTTGAGTTCGTCGCTCGAGAATTTGATCAATATCTTCTTCACAGAATCTGTAATAATTGATTTAGAAGGACAGAAAAATTTTGTAAATTAGCATTAAATCATTAAATGTTATAAAAAATGAGCAGCATACTTCGAACTATCTTCATTGTCTTCTTCCATCAGAGCACCATATGCACCTTTGCGTAGAAGATCTTCAACATCCCTTTTCGATAATCCCTGCTAAATTTGAAATTATAAAACATATAATTACCTATATATACATACACGATATTGAGTGACACAATAAGATTAAGTCTCACTAAATTAGACAATACCTGAGTTGGTACAGAGTCTTTATTTCCACTCATCGATTGAAGGACTGCCCTATCTAAGCCTAACTTTAAGCTAGCGCGATCAAACATTTCCCGTTCGTATGAATTCTGAGTTATTAACCGGTAAACTTTTACAGCTTTACTTTGGCCAATTCTATGGCACCTAGCCTGAGCTTGTAAGTCATTTTGGGGATTCCAATCCGAATCAAATATTACTACGGTGTCTGCGGCAGTAAGGTTTATACCCAAACCTCCGGCTCTTGTACAAAGTAGGAATACAAACCTATCCGATTCTATATTAATTTATACAGAGAATACATAGTCATTATTCACTTGTCATAGTCGTAATTGCATACAATATTGAAGGTTTCAAAATTAACGAAACTAGCAAATAGCCTAAATAGTACGACTGACTATGAAAAATACCATTCACTGTTTCACTTTAGAGATACTGTGACCAATTCTTAAGTTTATTACTGCTACCAAAGGGGGCTTTTTAAATAAATTTCATCAATTTTCATATAATTTTAATTGAAATGTTCTTGCACTGCACTGTGTCTAATAATACAATATAATTTACACTTATAGTATTCACATTGAATTGGAGGCCTGTGTATAGCACAGTAATCGCGATAAACTGCTGCAACAAGGACTATCGTAAACACAAGTTTTTCCTTTTGACTGCAGAGATTTGCTAGAAGATCGTCTCGTAAATGTTTACAGTAACATCACCAATTTGCAATTGGTACTATTACTGACATCAAGTAACATTGCATCCATGACAAGTAAGAATTTGTCAGTCATTACAATGCAACATAATTATTACTGCATTTGCGATATTGAAGTCACATGATCTCAGAAAAAATAATTATCACATAAAATCCATGTAATACACATCGGTGCTAGAGCATACGAGTCTTCATCAAATATATTTTGTTGCATTAAGTATGGGAAAGTAATTATTTGTACGTCGTTACGTATTTAACAAAACGTTAACTATTCAACGGTGATAATTATTCATCGATACCTGGTTTACAGAATCTATCAATAGCTGCCTGACGGAGATTTCCTCTTACTCTTCCATCTATCCGTTCATACTGATACCTGGGTAATCATACGTATAAGGTTTAGACGTAGTGCAATCTAGGGAATATTATTTTCAAGTAAAATTACCTACCTTCGGTATACTAAATAATCTTCCAGTATGTCCAAACAACGAACCATTTGTGAAAATATTAGAACCTACCGATAGAATCACTGGATATGAATTTAAAGTATTTTAAAATTATACAATTAACATTCGAAATTTTTGTGAATACCTTATGGCCTCCGTCTTTTAATTTGGGTAGCAACTTATCAATTAGTACCAACTTTCCTGATGCCTGGATCATAGCATGGATAGCTGCATTTATTCCGTTGACTTGATTATTTGCTGTAAATTCTCCTACAATCTTTTCTTCGGCTCCTGAAATGAAATAGGTTATACAAGGATAGCACAAATTACAGACGCATTAGAGGTATCATAAATCTCCGTTGTATCCTACCATTAATCAAAAATGGATGATTACAACATTTTCTTAATTCCATCATAGTATTCATTAAATTAGGGAGATTCGAAGTATTCGCTCCTTTCGATAGAAAGTTAAAGTTTCTTTCAAGTATTGCCCGATAGAATTTTTTTTGAATTGGAGTTAGTTCAACCTAAAGGATAATTTTCAGAATATTATTGTAATTACTTATTACACGATAACTTAACTCTTAATCAGCAATGTTACCTCTATGATGGTTTCTTCCTTCGGAGCTAAATTCTTTTCTACGTCCTCTTTCAATCGGCGTAACATCATCGGTTTTAGTATCTACGAGATTAACGTAATTTACCAAAAAATACCATCATAGCAATGTAATCGTATTAATACACTTTCAAGTCAACATATTGTATATATTTTATACATATATACTTGATAATCCACATTACTAACAGTTTGCAATTTGTCCACTTGGGCTTCTGTTTTCAAGTTACCAAATTCTGATAAGAACATAACATCGGATGCAAATCGAGCAGGTTCTAGGAAGTTTAGTAAACTAAATAATTCTTCTACATTATTTTGTAGAGGGGTTCCAGTCAGTAATATTCGATGATCCTAAAAATATATTAATTAATCAATCAGAAGAGTACATGCGACCTTTACCATCCTAAAATTGCTGAGGGTTCCACGATCGCATCTAGAGTGTCTATAATATTAATCTTAGCGCCACTCACTAACCATATGCAGCAATTTTAAGCCTTCCAATAATTTACAATGACGATTTTTTAAGCGATGTGCTTCATCTATAACCACTACCTTCCACGGAATAGCACGCAAGTCTGGATTATCGGCTATTTTTTCAGTTCAGAAAATGTAGTCACTTTAGATACGCTAATTTTAATACTGATATATATTTCAGAGACTTATGATAATTGCATACAAAGTATTATTTCGTAAGTAGTTATGATAATTTGAAATTTGATAGCATTGAGATTTGGAACGCCCTTAAAATAAAAATTTTATAATTTAATATTTAAAAAATATGGTATTTCCAGAGCGAAATACCCATTAAATATATATATATATATATATATATTTACGTACATTACTATCACGATAATACAGTTCATAGTCACGTATAAGTTGCCTGCTTGCGGAGCTACAAGGGAAAATTTCAGAACTGATTTTAAAATGACAACATTTTAATAGACAGTGATTTTGTAATGTACCTTCCATGATAAACAACGACATTCATATCAGTCCAAGCTTCAATTTCTCTTTGCCAGTTAGCAATCGTAGACAGCGGAGCTATTACTAAGAACGGCCCTCGAATATTGTAGTTCTATTGTAATTTATAATTTAAAAGTGTTACAGCCATATTCAAAGAAATCAGGTTGTTCAGTATAATTCCAAGCTTATTCTATCCATTAATGAATTCTTACTAGTAAATGATTCAGAAAGGAAAGAGACTGGATGGTTTTTCCTAGGCCCATTTCATCGGCCAATATAGAATTTTGTCTACAACAGAAATGAATAGAGAGTGATCGTCTTGTCCGGCACGTAAGTAATTGTAGCAGAACTAACATACCTATTGAACCAGCAGAACAAAAGCCAGTTCAGACCCTCGAGTTGATAATCTCTGAGAACGTTTCCAGATTTATACATTGGTGAATTAGTCAATTTTATCCACTCACTCGGGTGTGGTCGATAATACGCCTAAAATATGATGTAAATACTAAGTATAAAATAAAAAGCGTACGTAAAATTGAAGCTGAACCAACCATTCTTGGATTTATGGGAGGAAGATTAGTTAATCTTTTCATTTGCTCAATCTTTTCCTGTTGGATATTGTCCTTGATTTCATATTAAAGCACAACAAAAATTTTCTTAGATGATTTAGTAAAACACTGTGAAATTAGATAGTAACAACTAACTTGCATTTCCCATGTACTGTCTTCGTAAGGGAGTAATTTCCACTTAACAAGGCAGTGTGTAATAGACTATTAAAGGATAAAACTTTAGTGACATATCACATTTGAGAGGAAATAGAGTTCATAGTATTTTGGTTTATGTAAGTATTAACTCTAATAATGCAATATAAACCTCGTTAGTCTTCGGATCTTGATACGTTTTAATGTCTAGGACCCGATCAACTTCAACGTATTCAGGGTTAAATGGTTCATCATCTTCGAACTAGTTACCAAGTATAGTTCTATTTAAAATTGATATAATTAATTTTGGTATAACAATCGCAGATACTTACCTCAACCAGATATCCTAGTAAAGCTCTTTTTTGCAAAAATCTTTTCACTTTCATGTTAATGCGTTTATCTCCATAGGTAAGTTTCGCTACGCTTGCCCATTCAGCATGTAGATAAGAGCTGAATATATAAAAATGTATCATTAGATTGGCTACGATATATATATATATAATGGCTTCTGAATAGCATATAGTTACGTGTATATAACAATAGATTGCATAATAATTTAATGTTAAATTTAACATATATGATAAACAGCATTAAGCATAAGATTTACTAATTTTTATATTTGACGTAGAATTCTTCGATTTCTCCTGGATATCCTTCTTCCCCTTTCTTAACGATGTAAGTAATTAAATAGCAATAGAATGTGAGTAAATAACACTATCCTCATAAACTATCATTATTTCTATGATTAAGCCAAATTTTAGTTTGATCAGATACGAGTTAATAATCACAGTGATCATTAGGTGTCCTAAGATATATCATCATCTATCATACTTCATTTACTGGCTTTGCCAATAATATACTGTTGAACGAAAATGTATCATCTTACAAAATCACATGCAACGATAATCTTACCTCAGTATTTCTTTTTCTGGCGGATAAGATTTTCTCAACTATCATTGCTTCTTCTTCCTATAAAAGCAGGAATACTGGGTTCTTTAGTAGACTGTACTGTACATTAAGAAATAATATTACCATTACTAATTAAAACAAAGGATTATTACCTGCACGTTTTCTTCTTGATTTGGAGACGAAGTTTTAGATTGATTGGCCTCTTTTATTCTATTCTCTTCCTCCTCATCGGTAATGTTATAATCAAAGTCTTCGTTGTAAGTTTTTTGTTTTCGTTGACGTAATGACCTTCTTGTCTAAGGTAGAATCAAATGATTAATATAAATACACAAATGTCTACGGCATAGAAAGAAGTTGTGCAATTATCTATAAAAATTAAAGCGATAACTTACTACAGTAGGAGAATCTACATGAGAAGCAATATGCGAGACTATTTCTTCATCTGAAGAAGAATCCCCAAAGCGGCTCTTGTTACGACTTGAAGCTTTCTTGGTTAAGACAGTTGCAAGTGGTCTATTAAGATATTTTAAAGTTAATATCAACAGCAATATACTTAGTAACCATATCAATTTGTAACTTACCGTGTGCCTTTTACTCTCCCAGAATGAGATAGGACCACGCTTGACTGATAATTTGCCGATGGTGTCGAGGATTGCGTATTATTGGATAAATAGCGAGCATTTGGTGTATTTTGATTGTGAGGATAACTACTTTGTTGTTGGAGTTCTAGATACTGCTGCATCTGAGATTTCTGCCGAGCAGTTGCTGAATGAACACTTTGGCCATTACTTTGATATGTATATTGTGGTTGGGTATAAATTTTTGCATCAGGTTGTTGTAGCTGACTAGAATTCATGTATCCTTCCTTTTTATGTTTTTGTACTTCTTGTAATTCAGTCGTGACATAACTATCGGTTGGCATGATTTTTTGACTGTTAGACTCGGAATCGGGATGACTGTAATAAGGTTGAGTTTGTAGTTGCTGTGGAGCATTCCTTGTATAATGCTTGATATTGTTATCTTTGCTACCTAAGTAATTTGAAGAGTATCGTGGAATAGCTGACATGGTTTGCTGATATTGTCTATCTTGTGTACTACTGGGTTGCATTATAGCATTTTGGTCATTACTTATATTAGTCTGTACTGCATTACGATAATTAGTTGTTGTAGAGTGTAAAGTTGGCGCAGGTTCATCATGTCCAACATCTACTTGCATTTCTGATTTTAGAGCATAATTCATTTGGGCTCCTTTATTCTGGTTGTAAACTTGGTTGAAGTGCTGTTGTTGTGGGTATAGCGTCTGGCGTTGATTGTGTGATTGATGCACTTGATAGTACTGTTGGAATGTATCTTGGGATATTTGTGACGGATCCTGTTGCGAAGGCATGATATTTCCCGATAGAATCATTCGTTGGCTGTGATCGTTGTTAGAAAACTGGACTCGTTGGGATTGAGGTTGATGTCCTGAACTCTCATGAGGTAGAGTGTGTTGTTGAGGCTCTATACTAGAATTATGTCTGTTAAAAGCTATAGTACCTTGTTGCTGTTGAGAATTCTGCGCTGTCCAAGAAGAATTTTGACGCTGTGTTTGGACTTGTGGCTGTATACCTTGAACTGAATAATTTTGAGAGACTTGATAATTCTGTTGTTGAGGTAAAGCAGCATTCGACACCGTATGCATACCCTGGGAATGAAACGACTGATCTTGAGAGAGATTTTGAACTTGTAATCCGCTATGACTATAAGGCCCCAATTTAGGTTGTGATTGCATCCCACTGTACTGATCATGTTGATAGACGTTATCAAACTTTTGCATGGGTTGTTGTACGAAACGTTCATGGCGTTGGGGTACAGAGTCATAAGTTGTTGGGCGATTTATTGCTTGTGGATGATGTTGATTCTGTAACTGCAGAGTTGAATAGTAATTGGAGTTTGTATCGACAGCATTTGATGAAGTGTCGTACATTGGTAGTAGATTCGGGTCTGCCATATCGGTCAGGAAGTCGTCAAGTTCTGTAAGTACTGATATCCAATTATAATAAACGTAGCATTCAAGTCCGCAGAATAGAACTGAACGATCTTCCTTTGAACGTTATGAAATTAAAATTTCATTCATTTACAGTCTTTATACAGACAACGCTGGAAAATAAATCGGATATTTTACGTCATTAGGGATATAAGACGTAGTGAACTATTATAAATTATCTCTTCATCACTATACAGTATGATATGTTAGGTATGACGTCTAAAACTGAGATAGTTGCAAATTTTTCAAAAATCTAGAAATATTACTTACAGTAGAAGACAGGGTACTCTAGTTTGTTAATGACATTCATACATGTGTAGATATAATATATACTCCGTATATAGCGAAAGGATAAAATGATCACTTAAAACTAGAGTGAAAGCTAGGCTATTACCGTATTTTACTGCGAGATTTAACGTTTTATGGTTAGTCAAGATAGTTTAAACGAATAATTACAGCCTCTCTGAAATAAAGATGTTTGGACTAGTAAAAAGAAATAGAAGGCTCTTCTGAAGGAAGGTAGTCACCTATTCATGAGTGGTGATGAACGGTAACCGTATACGTATAGGATATTGGTAATTCATTTATTTATTGAAGAAGTTGCTATCTACGTGTATTAATGCAATAGCATAATGATGCTGGGCTTTGAATGTTCAAGTGGGTCGAAATTACATGTAAAATTAACTGCCAGACTAGAAACCAGGTTGGACAGATGGAAAGTAGTTAAGGTGGTAGGTATAATGGACTTGATCCGGAGTATCATAGCATCACAGTCAACATTACAATTGCTGTCTTGCAAAAAGGCAGAGAATTTGATAAGATATCAAGTAAAAAGGTGATATTAATTCATTATCGATTAGGAAATCCACTATATCGTCATTCATTAGAATGTTGAAGTTGATAACTTTGTGACAACGCAGAAGTGCTGTCATAAAACACGGTGTACTTTTTTTGTCGCATAATGTTATGTTCTAAAAGGTATTGATGTGTTGCATATATATATATATATATATCAAGTTCTTCATACTTGGTTACTAGTAAGACTGGTGTATCTTAATGATAACTACACGGTGTTCCATAGACTAGAAACTGAACGACAATGTCTAATTGATGGACGACTTTGGCTAACAACTGATGGTACTGCATACTGTACATGCGTCCATAGATCCTTAATGGTGATGTAACGTTTGCAAAATCGACAAGCATTTTCTTACATTTCGCCAGATAGGTAGTTGGTTGATATTCTCTTACCATCCATAAAAAACTCGATCTACCATTACCGTACTGCATGGAGTTGTCTATGCGCATCATGGTATTGTATTAGGATTGATTGGCAACTAACGTACTGTACTAGCCGCACTGGACCACATTTTGTAGTGGACTGTTTTCATACTGTATGTTGGGACTACTAGAGACTAATAGTGATTTCTATCAAGTTGTAGATACTGTTACGTGTACAGTAGAGTACCGTACTGTACGACCGATCCTATTGTGTCATTTCGGACAGTGGATTGTACTGTAGTTTACAGTACAATCCAGGGTGGACTAGACTGTGTCGACCTCCAATTCATTTCTTGACCCATTCAGGTGTCTGATTTCAGTGAAGAGTTGAGGTCAACAAGAAAGAAAACATTCTTTATTCATCTTAGTCGTAGACGTCGGGTTGTGTATGGCAAACTGGAGTACAATCACTGTGACGGCTAAATGTTCAGTAGTGAGTGAGGTAAGTTCACTCCACGTTTTATTCATACTATAGACATAAAAGAAAGCAACTGACAACGGTACAGTGTGCTCATGGTGAAAGCTTGTTTTAATGACAGCCTCCATGCTTTGTACTGTACTGTATGGAGATTTCACTACGAGCACAGTCACCGTTGTCAGTGGCTTTTCTTTTTCCAGTATGGTGATGATACTGACTAAAGACTGATACACTTGATCTATCGACTTGCCATTTCCAGACATTGTTATTTTATGATTTTTATTCAATGTACAAATGGTTTATTGAACTTAAAACTAGCGTATCATCAACATTGTTCTACTAATTGGATAGTCAACGCATTTCAATGATTGTTACAGTATAATTCTAGAATTTCTTCTTCGTGTACTCATTTCAACTTATGCTATCGTGGCGAAAAGATATCAAGTACAATACTGCCAGTGCACAGCGTCCACGATACTACAGTACTGTACGCTACTAGACGGTGTTGTAGGAGAGGTGGCTGAGCACTACTGCTGCCTCCGTTGAAGCTTGCAAATTACTGTAGAAATGGTGATCGAAACAAAACCTACTGTACCTACTCTACAAGTCTCAATTTTCGATATTTTCAATGAATAAGTAGCTGGGATCACTGGACTTTCATCGCAGATTTTATGTGTTACTGAATCTTCTGCTATGTACAGTACATTAGTCATACAGACATACAGTATATATATACAGTATATCGTAGAGACGAGAACGTGCTGTACTGATTTCTGTCATGACAGTGAGGCAAAAGAAGACTACAGTACAGTAATCTTCAGTACCGTCCAGTATTACTTAACAGTTATCAGCTTATCATTATTGCATGGAACATGATCAAGTCCATTATCTTATCAAGTAATGTAATTTACGAGTGCTAGTATGCATTGATGTTGCTATTTTAGGTATCATTAGCTTTTCCATATCAAAGTTCTTGTATTTTAGTCACGCTGCAGGCAATATAAGCGCGATTTTAACCCTGAATGATGTATGAATTTTGCGCACATTGATGCCTGTCGTCCAACAATTACAGCCTTTATCGACATCACAGTAAGTTGGCTGTATGAAAGTGAGCGTTTTCTACGTTTTTATCCTACCTAATATAGCTTAGACGTTGTATATGTACTGTAGATTACGTGATAGGGTAAGCAGACACACGTATTTTGAGACAATCATTGTGATAGTTACGGTTTACATCACACTACTTGAAGTGCAGAAAGATCAAGCATCAACTGTTATTACCGTAGATTTGGTTATGTAACTGATGTCAATGAACGTTAGTCAGCCATGGCGATTGTGAAATATAAGAGTGTGATAGCGTATTTTCCAATGAGTAACAGCACTGTACAAATCGTCTACTGAATTATTATGGTGAAGTATATTGAAAAGTCGAACGAAGTAGAGTATTTTCTCAATTGCTAAGATTCCTTATATTAACCATTGCCGGTAAAGTATCGACTTTATGAACAAGGAAGGATTTGATTAGGCTAATTTTGAACTATTTCGCTCCATTACTTTTATGAACAGTCCTGTTCATCCACAAAAATATTGTTCGTTGATTTCAATTTCTCTTCAGTACAGTAATTAAAGTTAAACCATGCCGACAGAAAACACGCGCGTAGAATGCTTTTAAACTTTGGGGCTGTTGTTCTTAACCAAATCAACACTGCATATTTAATAATGTCACTGACTGCATTGTAGTAGATCTTTCAACAAGAAAATTTACTCACTGCCACTTACCTAAAGCCTTCAGAAAGAGTAGAGCCGATTTCTTTATTCCAACATCCAATGTTATCCAGTACTACAAGAAAATGGTAGAAATAGTAATATTTGTAATTGTGGATTTGGAGAGGCACAGCAGTTCTTTCAAGGCACTTTCAATGTTCGCCCTAGGGATCTCCTTCCCTACTGAATCTTCCTGGTTAGGTATTGGCTGAGACACGTATATACTGCACAGTATAGTAAAGTGCGCGGTTGCAACGCGTTGTCAATATTCCAGGTTCAAAGTCGTTCCAACCGTTGATTGATATGGGAACGTTGAAGCGTGCAGTACGCACAATGCCCGTTAAAGGTTTCGCTGTCAGGATGGCGCCTGGATTAAAAAATCTTTCAAAAATCCCTTTTACGGTACCAGTACTGTACTGTGCGCAGGATTGAAAGATACTGCACTGTACTGTATCATTCAAAGGTTTAGCTGTGACGGTACAGCACAGTGTACCGTACATTGTACTGTACAGTACAGTACCGTACAGTACAGTTACAAAGAGAAAATTGGGAAATCCTTGTACTGTAGCTTGGGTGTGGTTTGTAATATTGTGCTGTGAGCGAAAAACTTTTCACTGCGCAATGCATACTGTACAAGATCTTGTCACTCTTCTCTTCCAGTTTGTATAGTACTGTACTGTACAGTACAGTACAGTACAGTACTGTAATTACAGACTACTGTACAGTACAGTACTGTACTGTACCCAATATACAGTACTGTACTGTACAGTACTATACTGTAAAGACTACAGACTGCGTGTACTGTACGTACTGTACCATGCGCTACTAGAAATTACTGGTACACTGCGGTACGGAATAAGTACAGTACAGTACTGTATAGTACTGTACAAAGGGTTTGTCACTCTCTCTTCCAGCCTGTACAGTACTGTACTGTACTGTACTGTACTGTACTATAATTACAGACTACAGTACTGTACTGTACAATACACTGTACTGCACACTGTACTGTACACTGTACAGTACTGTATAGAATACAGACTGCGTGTACAGTACTGTAATGTACAGTATCATCGTTTAAGCTATTTACGCTGAGTATCTGAGTAATCGGGGTTATTATGGCTGGGCCTAGTGTACACTGTACAGTACTGTACAGTACGCTACAGTACAGTACAAAGCGTTGTTACTCTTCTCTTCCAGCTTGTACGTACTGTACAGTACTGTACTGTAATTACAGACTACAGTACTGTACGCTGCAGTGAAAAGTCTTCTATTCACAGTCCAGTACAGTACTGTACTGTACAGTACTCTGCTCTGTACAGTTCCAACTAGTTTAGAGTGTAGCTTGGTTCGGAGCGCCTAAAACACTTTATTGAGTTATCTGCATATCGAGCTTTACTGCTTCGATATTTTTTTTCACTTACAGTACTGTATTTTGATCTGGCGTACTGTGCTGGACTGTGCACCATACGGCCTCAATAGTTACGTATGGGCACTTAACCATCAATAGTAATACACCACACGGCCGCAATAGCAACAGACCTTCATCGTACTGTATACGAAATTGCAAATTATACTTTTTGGTTGATCTGTTTGTCTTAATACTCCACTGTATAGTGTACAGTATGCCTTTAACTTGCTCTATACTCTAATGCACGGTATACTATACTGTATGTTGGTACGTGGTACTGTACTGGGACTGCTTTTGATCCCGGTGCAAGATTATCAATCCCAAAATTGGCAATTCTACAATTGCTTGTAAAGTATATCAGTAAATGTAACTACTGGTATGGTATTTATTCCATGTAATAGCTAGTATTAGGTCCTCTTGCTTAGTACTGTGTAATGCACGTACCGGAATTCGTGTTGTACTATACTGTCCTGACGGACACAGAGGCAATAGTGCAGTGTTAATGACGTATATATGTCATATACTGTACAATACACATTATACAACTTGAACTGGTAGTTATACAATCGACCGGAGGACTGGCAGATCAACTAATCTAATCAGAAAGTATCTTTTTCAATATTTTTAGCCAATTAGGGAAATGCTGCACAGCCAGAGGATCACACATTTCCCTACCTAAACAACCTCCCTCTGGTCGAAAAATTAGACTTCATTTTAGTTTTAAAAGAAATTTAACTTTTCATTGCATTAAAGCTAGTAGATAATATTCGAAACTAGGAGGGTTATCAATATGAATAACAATTTCCACTTATCCATAACGCCTACCATTATATTATTATTAATCTCATAGGCTGTTCGTTTCATTGACAAGATACGTAGCAAAATGAACTTCTTACAATACGTAATAAGGCTAGACGTAGTTTTATTCAAGAAGATCTAAATTCAAAAACAATCCAGGACAACTAGTGAACTTTTAGAATTGAAATATCGACTAACTTTCAATGGCAAACAAACATCGTATTAAATCCTCATTGCTCAAAGGGATCGAGATAAATAGAACTAAAACATTAGGCTTTAGCTGTCGATTAAGTACAAGGGATGCCGTATTCATCCATTTTCAAGAGAATGACTTTTGCCATGCAAACATATAAAAAGTTCTATATTGATACATGAACCCAAATATAACTGTAAAAGCGTCAACAGTTGACTAAAGATTTAGTAAAGTTGGAACAAAAACTATCTTTGAAATAACTGTAGGAATATCAAAAATATTTAAGCCAATGGATTTTTCTTCATTAATTCAACATCTGATGTAACCATTTCTGTAACAAGCTCCTATAGGTGTCATAATTTATAACAATAAGAGATTCAAATAATAGAAAAACCTACGACATATGCTAATACAGCAACTAATAATGCTATATGCGGTGAATGAAAATATTTTGCTACCACTTGTTTAAAGGTATAATACCGGACCTCAAATGTTACTTTCGGTTTCCATCCCAACTTTTCACGAGCTTTGGTACTATCGCCTTGCAAGAAATCCTTATCAATGTATCAAACACTTGTTATCAACAATAGATAATTAAAGAACATACAGTATAATACGTGCTCAATTTATCTATGCTTAGATACTGGTATTCGACATTTTAGAGATGAAGATTACACATATAGATAAATGAATTCTTTATGAATTCGCTCATAGCTAAGGTGACTACAGACTTACAACTTCTGCAGGACGATAAAATTTAGGATTAATTCGAACACGAACTGTATCATTTGCTTCATCAAAGCCAACTTCATCAAGTCCAGAACCTTTCCAGCTTGAGAGGACAGATAAATACAATTGTCACAAACGTAAAATATCTATTGTAACATTGTTATACACCCTATAATCTTGATTATGAAATCAATTTCATATCAGCATGTGCTAATTGACATCTTAATATCTGATTAAGCTTGCAGAACAACATAAATTACAATCTTATGATCTCAAATACAGTAACTATAATGAACATACTGTGAAAAGTAACGTAAACAGCGCAAATTTAAGCTAAACATTTATAATTGTATACACAAAAATCAGCAAAGAAACAGTTAAAACTGTATTAAAAAACAAACCCAATTTTTATTCCGACGACAGCGAAAGCAGCCTCAACAAATTTGCGCACACTGTGTACTTCACCGGTAGCTACAACAAAGTCTTCAGGTTTGTCATGCTGCAGCATCATCCACATTGCCTACGGAATGGATAGGTTATATCTTAAACAACATTAAGTTCTACAAATCAAGCATTGCCTAATAACTTTATGAAACTATCTTCGCTATACCAAACCTCGACATAATCTTTAGCGTGGCCCCAGTCTCGGCACGAGTCTATATTTCCAAGGTGAACCTGTGGGGATACGAAATATTGGAAATAATGCGCGTTAAATAATGCCGCTAAACACATAAATTTACTTTTACAAATTTTAACAATACGGATGAATAATGGGAATTACCTCCTCTTGCAAACCTAAATGTATTTTAGCAACTGCACGTGTAATTTTTCTTGTAACAAATGTCTCTCCTGAAATTTAATGATAAATGCTAAAGCTGATGAAGGAGATATGCGTCACTAAAAACGTATCCATACCTCTTCTTGGACTTTCATGATTGAATAAAATACCGTTACAACAAAACATATCATAGGCCTCGCGATAGTTTATCACAATCCAAAAAGCATACATTTTAGCAACACCTTAAGTCAGAAGGTAATACGTAGATTAATGATGTGACAACTTTATGATAAAATAGTAACTTCACGTTTTAGATGTGAATTAGTTATATAATATCAAACCTTACCATAGGGTGATCGAGGATAGAATGGCGTAGTTTCTTTCTGGGGTATTTCTTGAACTTTCCCATATAATTCACTAGTAGATGCCTATTAAGTATTATAATAATAACTATTAACTCTGCCTTGGAAATAGAAAGCAATGGTATTGATATTTATGAAATATGCTTGAAAGCAAGAGTTAGCGAGCGCTTAAATTATAGAACCTGATAGAATCGAATCTTGTTACTTAGATTACAGGTCCGAATGGCATCGATCAAGCGCAACGTACCAACAGCGTCTACATCAGCGGTGTACTCACTCAAATCGAACGAAACCTTATAAAATGTTTATACAACAAAGTTAAACGCTACCTTATTATTTTAAGTATATCAGTCTATACATGTAGACAATTTTATGCAGATACTAGGAATAAAGCAGATAATATAAAATACTTTGGTGTTAAGAAATCGATAGCATAAGTAAAACACCTACTTTGACATGACTCTGTGCAGCTAAGTTATAAATTTCATCTGGCTGTACCTGAAATCAACCGTACAATGTAGCAAACCATGAAGTAAATGCTATACTGTAGTTTACGAATATAGAGCATCTTGCAATATCTTACCGAAGAGATAATTTTTACCAAACAAGTACTATCAGTTAAATCACCATAGTGCAACTTCATAGCTAAATTAAATGACAAGAATAAGGACATTAAGTTAAGATTTAGCAGTGCAATTTAATAAGTAAATTTATACTTTTGAACCTTTAGCTGTATGAGTTTTAGGGTCTTCATATAAGTGAGAGATTCGACCAGTATTAAATGAACTTGATCGCCTAATAATTCCGTGAACCTGAGATAAGATGAATATTACATAATTACTATAAGATTTCTTATACTAAAGTGAGATATACAATTTTAAAAAGTGAATAGATTTGTCTTGTAACATGTGCTAAGGCATAAACTGAATTATAATAACGTCATGACGGCAACTGGATAAATAATTCACTAGTTTAAGCTTTTTTACAAGATTTAGATTATGATACTAGCACATAGGCAGATTCTTAATAAATAGATAATTTAAAATTGTGACATTGTCGAGCTTATACTTTTACAACTTTTTTAAATTGTCAAAATATAAAGTGAATAGTATCCGGTGCAAAGTATGTTGGAATGATACAGCGTACATCCAAACATACTGTAGAGTGATAATCGTGCTCGAATGAGAATAATAAAGAGGCTACTTAATACTATACATAAAAAGATGGTGTACCTTGAACGCAAAATTAATTACGACTGATGCTTTTAGGCGCTTACCTCATAACCTTTATTGATAAGTAACTCTGCCAGGTAAGAGCCGTCCTGTAAAGAATATGAATTCTTAGTTAGTTTTTATGGAGTTGCGATAGCAAAGATTCGGCGATATAAAGCATTAAATCTAATGGTGATACCGTAACCAAGAATAGAGTTAGCGGTATCCAATTTCTACGTAGTCATGCAATTTATAAATGTTAATGGAGTATTATTATTCAGCACAGTTGCAGACTCAGTCAAGTTTTGAACATGTATAAACACTGTAAGAATCTAGGATAATATCGTTCGTTGAGAAGATAGTATAAAGAATATAAGTAATATATGTATGTCCTATATTATAGGATGGGCTAACTACGAATCTTGAACTTAGATTAACGGAATCTATGTGTGCATGCCATTTATATTCAAGAAGTAATAGCTGTGATTAAGAATGTAAGTGATGTAACGGTAGGTGATGAAGTCCATTTTCATTTGTGCAGCAGGAGAGTTCAAACGAGACAGTGATAGAACGAGGCGTTGTTTTTGGTCAAGAGAATATAGAATGAGTCAAGTTAGCTTTTAATGTGTTGATTTGATATAATCATTCATATTAATCACTCATGTATTATACAGTAAGAGACATGCAGTACTAATACGTAGTTATCGTGCATTGTAAGTCGATTAAAAGTGGAGTACTGTACTACTGTACCGTATATGTAGGAGCCGAAATGAAAGTTGCATGTGTTCCATGTGCAGTTTTCCACTGTACATTTACAGTGGAGTATACAGTATAAACATCCTAAGAAAGTTTTGATAAATGACTAATATTATGTAATGAACTAGTAAGATACTGAGACCTGTAAGCTACTAGACAAGAATGTTTCAGATTCTTCCTCAAACTGGATTAATTTAGTTTATTTAAGTTCAATAAAAACATTGGTCAATTTTCTATATTTCGTTATAAATTGCATTTAAAGTATCAGCTAAGTTGAGGAATCAAGATACCATATTGATATCAAGTAACGATTCAACACTTAAGCCTGTACTATCATTGAATTGGTGGCATCTAAGCCATTTCGCATTTTAGTATATTGAATGGTTTATATTATAGTTTTAAAAGGGAACTCTCCATTTCGGAGTAGCGAATAGGGAGAGAGAAATACTGCAGAAGTGATAGTCATACTTGGTCCTAGCTTAAGATTGTATTGTTCGTGAATGCGGTGTTACTGTGCTCCTTACTTTGATATCACTGTATTACTCCACTTACTTCAAAGTTAAGTCTCTCAAGAATGTGTTGAAGGACTTTGCAGTATGGTCATGGTGTCGATTTTAAAAAATTCTATCCAAAATTGGAAGGTGTGTGTCATTATAGTTTACAAGTGAAGTTTTGCTTGGCATCCGCCTGTTGTAATATTATATTAACCATTTTGACTACGATTTGGAAAGAGTCACTGAATACTCCATTTCGTTCTAGTATAATACTAAGTTGACATGTATTGGCATACCTGGCCCGTAATCCCGGTTATTAATGCAATTTTGGATCGCGATTCAGAAGTTTCGGAAGCCATTTTCAAAGATTAGTTTACAAAGTCTACGAATCCACAGCAATTTGAAGGCGGTCGTTGCGGGTGAGTGCACACTACTGAGCGGAGTCCACTCTACTGTACTGTACTGCTGTTACAGTTTGTACTACCAGAGTGGTCGACAGGAGGTGTAAGCTGGCGTACGCATGAACCACCAGAAAAAATCATGGCCTTCTATGGACAACATGTCCCTCATTCATGCCACTAGCGAGCAGAGTACGGTACTGTATGACGTATCATTGGTCTAATGATGAGGTGGAGGATTGGATATCGCGCATGCGTAGATGCTGGATGGACGAATATCAATGAGTTTGGAATCGCATTCTACTCCAGACTGGATTGGAGTAGAATGCCGCTCACATTGAACAGTACAGTATGCTAGGCTACGGTTAGATTTTGACTGAACACTTCAATGATTGAGTAGGATGGGTAAGGCGAGACGCACTACTTCACTGCTACAATTTACGTTGTACAGTACTGTCCAATAGAATAGGCTATAGTCCGATTTTGGCTGTCGTTTTGAATCATTTCCTGTCCAATATGATAGGCTATAATCGGAATTTGCTTGTCGTTTTGAATCGTTTACTACTCAATCGGACTCATCCACAGGACGAGTGTCGTTAGTGCGTACGTGCTGCACCACTTCACTTGTACAATGTACTGTACAGTAGAGTACAGTACTCAGTACTGTACATTGAAGAATATGACAGGCTATAGTCAAATTTTGACTGAACACTTCAATGATTGACTAGGATGGGTAAGGCGTCTGAGATGCACTACTTCACTGCTACAGCGTACATTCTGTACAGTACTGTCCAATAGAATAGGCTATAATCCGATTTTGGCTGTCGTTTTGAATCGTTTACTACTCAATGGGACTCATCCACAGGACGAGTGTCGTTAGTGCGTACGCGCTGCACCACTTCACGTGTACAATGTACAGTACAGTACAGTACAGTACTCAGTACTGTACATTGAAGAATATGACAGGCTATAGTCAGATTTTGACTGAACACTTCAATGATTGACTAGGATGGGTAAGGCGTCTGAGACGCACTACTTCACTGCTACAGCGTACATTCTGTACAGTACTGTCCAATAGAATAGGCTATAGTCCGATTTTGGCTGTCGTTTTGAATCGTTTACTACTCAATCGGACTCATCCACAGGACGAGTGTCGTTAGTGCGTACGCGCTGCACCACTTCAAGTGTACATTTACTGTACAATGTACAGTACAGTACAGTACTCAGTACTGTACATTGAAGAATACGGTATGACAGGCTATGGTCAGATTTTGACTGAACACTTCAATGATTGAGTAGGATGAGTAAGGCGTGTGAGACGCACTACTTTACTGCTACAATGTACATTAACATGGTACAGTACTATCCAATATGATAGGTTATACAGTAGTCCGATTTTGGCTGTCGTTGGAATCGTTTACTACTCAATCGACTCGTCTTAGAAAAAGAAAATAATGACAACGACTTGAAGTCAGATGATGGAAGAATAAATGAAAATCTCAAGATGATGTGATCATGTTTCTACACGTTAATTTATTGAATTGAATTAATCGGAGAGTCCCACTTATTCACTGTTCAGTGACGTACTGTACTACTGTACTGTACTGTGCACTCACTGAGTGTGCAGTGCATTGTAGCGCTTACAGTGTACTGTACTGTAGTGTGAAAGGAATCGAAAGGTTTCTAGTCTATAGTCAACAGTATCTCTCATACTTTGACTGTACATGTTATGACTCATAACTCCTGAGTGCGTCACATCAGTTCTGTCCTGTACAGTACGACGATTGTAGGAATTGGTATCCTGTGACTCAAGTCATACCATTCAAATGATTGGTGACGAATGACAAGTGACAACGACAACCCGACAAGCTTAAACCTGCTCAGTATGACACATTGATTTGGCTTGAAAATAAAAACAGCTTAGAATCAATATTAAAGCGATCGCGATATCGCTTTAAAAGAGGAAATGCCAGCAGTCTCCATTGCAAGTGTGGAATGTAGTAGCATCTCTTTTCTTCTTCGATATACTGCAACTTTCAATGGAAAAATGGATACTTGAATAGTTCAAAAGACGTCAATCAGATCATTCTTAATACCGGTAGATCGTACAGTCGCGTTATATAAATAATTAGTCTTTTATTCATCGATTAATCACTACGAGAGTTCCAATTTTCCAACCAGACTGTCTGTTACACTGATCAATCTTGGCGTCGAATAAGAGACGATTGCTTGATTGATCAACAATCACTAAAGGCATCCAGACTGTCAATTAAAGTGATCAATCTGCGCGTCGAATAACAGACGACTGATTGATTGATCAACGATTACCAAAGGCAATAACAATCCATTCATTTTTGTGCATGCAAGTTGATCAAAAAGTACTGCTAAAATGTCCAGTAGGGATGAATTTACAACCGTGGTCATTAAAAAGTTGTTACAACCCATTGGATTATATGATCGCTATCATAGCCGCTTTGAATCTCAAGGATACGATTGTGAAGAAGATCTTTGCATGCTAGATGAAAGCGATTTAGATCAAATGCAGATCAAAAATCCAACTGATAGATGTGAAATTTTAGCTGCAGGTGAGTAACACAATTGTAATATGCCTAAAGGTGCTACCTTGATGGTTCAATTTAGAGCTAGTCTACTACATTTGCAGTTCATTTCAATGACTCTTGAAATTGGTGCCATGACGAGCAGGCGTAGGCACTTGTCCTATCTGACACGCAGTGCAGGCATTATTTATTGGTCAGGTTATCTAGTCGCAAGAGAATAATCCGTTTTTACAATAAAAGTGACAGTCAGCATTTTCATCTTAATAAGTTACTATCGTAACTACCTGCTATTATCTACACGTAGAGTAGTTCTACTCAATATGATGCACATCGGTAACTTTTTATCCGCCATTCTAGTTAAATGATACATTAATCAATCCATAGGTATGATTCAAGTATTGACTTGTGATTTGCTTTGGCTTCTCCGACGAGTTGAAAGGCTGTTTAAATATGAATCTTTCTTTTATTGTTCTGAATATGATGATGTATAATAATCATACTATATACATGGATAGTGAATGAATCACTCCTTGGCAATAACCATTTTGAATCACATATCACTTGTAGCTTCTCAAATTTATAATGCATCATCCTAATAGTTTATTAGTGTAAGTAGACAGTAAAGCTTGCATTAAGTCTGTTCAACTACGGTCTTCCATTTTTTTATTTATATTATTAAAAGGATCACCTTGATCTAGCTAGAACTGAAAAGAGTCTCTATTTGTGTAAATTCTTTGCGCTTCCTTTTTCCGTTGTTACTGTACTTAGCGCCCTATCATTCAGTCTTCGTATTTGTCTAATGTTGCTAATAGCTGATATTTGTTGTTAATGACTACAGGATGATTATACTGTATAATCGGATCGAATGGATTCGTTCAGTATAGACATATGGAGATAAGGCCAATGTTTACCATACTTTCTGTTGTGCAGGATAGAAGCTACCTATAGTAATTCAGTTAGTTGTGCTTATCATTCAATACAGTATCAAAATAAATGCATTACTTGATTGGCAGCGATTCTATCGACTTTGCCGTATGATAGAATCATTGCCTGTCAACTCTTCCGATCTCAGTTTCTTAACTAATATTCTCATGCCAAAGAGCATTTGCTTAGTTTCTTGTCCAAAGCAGAATATTAATGTTGTACGATCTCCTCCCTTATTATACGCATAATAGCTCTATACTGTATGATAATAACCTTTACAAATCACAAAGATGTGTTATATACAGTAGCATGCAAACCCGCAAAATTTAAAAGTAGAAATACGCGCACACCTGTGGATGTACATAAAATAGAATACCACTGAACCTACCTGATTAACACTGTGAAATATGGGAGATGGAAATGTTGATGACATGCCTCTTTGCGAACCGCTCGATGATATTTAGTACAGCGTACAGTAATGTAGACTAAAGTACGTATATCAAGCGTATCAAATAAAATAAGCATTCAAAATGATGATACTGCATTGAGTTGTAAAATAACATGATACTAGAACAGTACTTGTATACGCACATGAAAGATCACAAGCATAATTGGGTACTTATGGATAAGAAAAATAAGAATTGTATCAAATAAAACAAGCATTCAAGATAGTCTTAAATGATACCATTAAATAACATTACAACAGTATATAGATGATTATCAAGTAGTTGGTGTTGATCGATGTTAAATAAGAATATTACCTATAAGACTGGAATTACATACATTAAGTAGAATAATCAAATCACGCCAGGTTACACCTAAAGAGATGTAATCCGTACCATATTGAAATTATACAGCTACATCAGCTTTATCATGCATGCAATTCTATAAGTATGCATATACATTACGATGATTAGATAGTTCTTAATTTCACTACTTGAGATATTTACACGAGCTTTCGATTTTTCCTTGAAATAGATTAACTTATACACATTATATGTATACAATTGACGATAAATTAATTATTCTTAACACCCATTTGTTTTATACCGTGGTTAATTTATGATATGTATAACTAGTTAATAAAGCTGTATTTGAACGGATACTATGAAAAAATTAAACTTTATTCAGTTCTTTTGAAGAAATATTTTATGAGTAATATTGATAGAGTAAATCGTAATAGAATCTGTTTTTATTTCTTTTAAATTATTTGCCATGCACTTTATTTACAAACCAAAATTGTCTTGCAAAATGCAGCTAAAACATATTGTAGGAGTGGCTCTGGTGAAGTATATCATTGGCTGCGCCAATTTGCATTAGAAAAGTATCATTCTAAAATTGTACAATTAGGCTATGACAGCCTCCGTAAATGTAAACAAATAGTTAAAGTAGATGATTTTATGGATGAAGTGGAAATCATGATTCCAGGTCATCGCAAGCGAATTGCAAGAATGAGTAAGTGTAACGTAAATTTGTTTCACAACAGATCGTAAGAAATATATTACAGTATGAAATTACTATGCCGTGATATGGTGAAAATATCGTAACATTAATTGATTATTATTAAGCGGACTTTACTTAATATGTCGCAAGTTGTGCTTTTTAACTTGTTCAGAATTTTTCGTTAGATAGTGATCTGATAATCCTAGAAATCGTTATAACATAGTTTACATCTATTAAGATTTCACTTTGATGTCACCATCGCTGTTTATAGTTGAAAAGTTAAAAGAAGGAAATGTCCGGATTACTGAGCCTGAAGAGCCTTTAGGTGTTGGGAGTTGGATTAAACCGGAGGCCTTAAGTAACGCTAAACACGAATTCTTATGCATCAAGGCAGCAGTTGGATCACCTGAAGAGGATAGCATGTACATTCAGAAATCATTTTTAATCGACACAGGTAGTGATGTTGTGACACTTCAACCGGAAATAGTTGAAATTCTTGGATTAAATATCATAAGAACTGTCACAAGCCATGGTGTCCATTCTACTGTAGAAAAGCAGCTGTACGCTGGGGTTTTTAAAATAAAAGATATAGAACTTGAGATTGAAGTAAGTATTTAAATTTTATCAATACTTTACAGTATTGATGTAATCTCATTATTCATTGCGATGCAATAAATACACATACAACACGCTTATTGTCGGGTTATTTATTGCCCCAAATATTTTTCTAGGTAATAAAAGAATCCTATAATTCGGTTGGTGTATGTGTTCTGCGACATTTTCGCCATTATATTGATGATAAAGTACACTTCTGGTTGAAGAAGTGTGAAGATAATTGAGCAATTATTCGAGAATTTTCATAAACCTAACATGGTATACTGTAGCACTATTCTATATCCCGAGCTGGTTTCTATATTTCATTCAATGATAATAATATTATTAATACGGTATAGCAATTGACAAATCTTTGATTGTATGTGTTGGAAACAGAGTTACTCAAATGTCTGAGTGAAATGGATTTCAATTATTTGTGTACATAATTAATCACAGAAGGAAATAACTTAGTTTTCGGGCGTAATTCAACGCTACATACAATACAATTACAGTAGCTGTGTTATGTATTTTAACTGGCTTCTTGGCTAGTAGGGCGCTGCAATTTAATTTGGAAAGATTAACTATTTTATCAATTTCTTTGAACGATTGGCCAATTTGGCACCTTTACTGCAATAATTGTAGTTACCACATCGTGTGTGTACTGCTTTAACATACTCGTATACAGAATTTTCCGCTCTTGTGATACCCTAAAATCAATAAAATTTTATCTTCTAGAAGCTATTGTTTGCAGATGAAGGACGAACGAGTTGCTTACCTTTTTATTAGGTTCAATCACGTAGCCAATGATCCAAGCTGATATAGCATAACTTCCGCACCATCAATGGCAATTGACTGATCTGCCTAGGCTGTAAGACGAAATAAAACACATACACACCTTATTCAGTGTCCTAACATTTATGCACAGGATATAATATGAATTATACCCATGCTATTCGTATCAGTGTTTGTAATACTGATGGATCACGCGTTTAGCTCTATGTATATAAAAATGTGAAGGAAGAATGATCCAACTTTTTATTTTTTTAATTGATGCTACAGTTAACCTTACTTTATTAATAAAAGCAACACTGTATCAGCAGATGACTAATCCAATGAAATCACTAATTTGTACTTTGTTTACCTATCATGTACTCTTATACTTACTAATATTTACATAGTTACACATAAACGTACATAGTAGCAATACTTCACTTCTGATTTATTCTAATCAGGTGAATAGTTGTAAATAGGCCGCTGGTATAAAATTCTGTAGTGTAATAAGCTTCAGATTGACATCTCTAGGTAAACTGCGGTATCTTACATATTAATAATCGTTTTGTGCATAACTACGGAACAGACTTGGACAGCATTGAGTTTACTGGACATCTGCATTTCCCTTCTAGCCTCAGAATGGCGCCTAAAGTTTATGACAATTTAACCTTCCGAATATGGTAGCAATAAATTACTACATGTAGTACGACAAAGTCAGATCGAAGTAGTGTTTGAATTGGCTTAATGTTTAAAAGATTTTATTGCCTATCTTTGATTTCAAGGCACCACAACTACTGTACGCTAATTAATTAATAGGGTACATGCCAGGTACCTATTAGTCTAAGAAGTGATTCAGTAGATATGGAAGTTAGGGCACAAATAATTCGCCCTACATAGCGGAATAATGGTATAATGTGTTGAAATTTTAAGAAATAAATTACAATCATATGGTCAATGATGCAGTGAAGGAAGCAAGGATAGCAACTCAAGGTTAATAATTATAATCGATTAATGACCTATTATTAATAATTTATATCAATATATTTACTATAGGACTGTATGGGGCTTATCATGGATTACATGATTAGAGGTGCAGCCATTGCAATAAATTGGTGACTAAAAATTTGAAAGCGAGCTGTTACGAACTTCAAACGCAGTACTTTCTATCAGTGAAACAAATTATCGATCAATTTTGACCTTTTTACTATTCACTATAGCTTTTATAAATTACGATATCTACTGAATGATCAATATCTCTTATCTAAGTCTATATACAAAACTTCATCATTTAAACTTCCCTAATAGTGCTCTAAACGAACTTAGTCATTTTGTATTTTACTAAAAGTACCGTAATTTTGATCAACTTTCGAATATCGGGTTATTTCCTGAGATTAATAAATATACAATAAGGCGAGAGATTGGTACATTATACGATTAATACAGAAGGATGAGAAGATTCGGAAACGCTTATAAATGTGTAATTTGCAGCTTTTAAGTGGTAAGGAATACAGTAACGGACATGAACGTTTCGTAAAAGCATACAGTACAACTTTCTCGAAAATGGTGACGCGATTATACTCGAAAGCTGTCAAAGTTAGTTTACAGTTAGAAAGAAGGATAGAATTTGACTGTTATTAAGTATATTCAGTAATTAGGAAGTGCGGATATAATTTTTATTACATAGCTATTCCAAATTTTATGATCAGATATATGATAACTAGGGTAGAACATACGATATACGTTACTACACTTTCTGGGCCTTTTCTTACTAAGATGGATAGAATTTGCGGCAATAGATTCAGGAGCATACGTAGCATCAATGATAATACTGTATCAAAGGTACAGATTCACATTATAATTACTGCGCTACAAAATTATTTGAATTAAATTAGCACGCAAGAGATTATTGATCCGGACGAAAATTTCAGTAAGTAATAACGTAAATAAGGTTAGCAAATAATAAAGAATATCCAAAAGGAGAGTGTCTAAGGACTTCAATACACAAAAAGTAATTAGCTTTTATAATCCTATTTCTTACATACTAGCAACATAAATTTATTTATCATTTGTACCATTTTTCAGAATATGTCATGAGTATCAAAAAGCATCGTGTCTAATAACGTTCTTAATCTGTATATGTATATGTATATGTATATGACAGCATATTCGCATCTATCAATACGTACGTAATGACACCTTCTGTATGACTCCATTAGGAAAAGACTAGATATAATGTAGATCAATAATGACTAAGTTATGATAGAAAAGTTAACCTTTAACAGTCAAAGAAACTATTTTTTGTAGCCATTCGGTCATTGTCTATATCATGATTGGAATAATGAGAAATTTTCTACGATGATAAATCTATAATGAGTAGTAAATTATTATAGCCTTTATTGAATTGTAGAGTACAGTAATAATTTGACTTAGTTAAATAATTATTATGCAAATATGGGCCTAATGACTCAAAGCAGTAATAAGAAAGATTTTTACACGCTTTGCGCAGTACGATTATTTAGGTTAGAAAAAACAGTTGCTTCTGTAATCAGCTGGATTTTCCTTCAAAAACAGCTAGCATAGCAGCTTTCTGAGATGCATTCATCGTTGCAACGACTTTATCAAACTCGGCAGGAAAGCGCTGACGCACATTAGCTACAATATGATGGATAATAGTGACAGTATCTAATAGCATGAATGAGATACGATATGAATTAGTACATTTCCTGCAGTCAGTACTGCACAATCATCGTTAACACAAGCAACACTATAATATTTTTTCAATTATTTACCCTCATCGACTTCGCTGTCAGATAATACCGTAGCGAAGATGACTATTAAACGGTCCATATGGCTAAATACCTTAACCGATAAGTAATAAAAATTATTTCGGATTATATTAAAGCCTATATTCCTTTATGACAAAAGAAAAATTTGCACTAAAATTCACAATTCGTTATGAATATACCTGAGCATGTCCAGCATTTAGTAATTTGAGGATACTTGTAAAAACTACTTTGTTTTCCTCCTTGTCCACTACTAGTGGTAAATTAGATACAACTTGTGGGAATACCTATTCAGATAGCAGATATTGTTTTATTATAATAGCATTATGATTATTAAGCTTAACTACTTCTCGTTAACGATGGCTGAATAGCAATTACAGCAAACTTACATTATCTATAGGCACAAGTGTATCATTTGCTATAATTAGTCTGGAAACACAAGCACATATATTATCCAATAGTTGGCGGCATCTATTGCCTCGTTTAGGTGCTGCGCGAAATAATGCTTGTAAAATAGCCATGTAGTTTCTATATTAAAGGGACAATTATACATTAGAGTTGGATAATTGCGACTATTTTACAATAGTCGGCGAAGGTAAACAAAACAATAATAACCTACCCGTACATAACTTGATCACCATGCTGCGCTAGTAAACCTAATCCATAAATTGCATTATTGCAAACATCATCTTCTTCGTCATCAGTTGATGACAAAAAGAGTGGATATAAATCTTTCACGAACGGTTTTATTGCAGACCTCATTGAAGCACTCATCTACTCCACAATTGTGGTATTGATATTAACGTTGATATCATGCTAGCCTTTAATATATTAACTACAATAATGGAAAATCGATTAACCAACCTCAGCTAAGGTTCCTATAACAAACGAACGCTCCGATACTGAAGAGGATGGACGCTATCAAACAGTTGATATATAATACACAAAAATATAAATAAGAGTTACTGCAAACTCTTAAAAATATTGCTGCATCAGTATTGAGCTTACATTTCTTTTTACTAGTAAGGACGAAATTTCACCAAATGAAGGGGCAAAATTTTCTCCGCCCACTAAATTTATAATTATTGGCAATAGATTACCAGCGTGTTCTACCACCAATCCATCGTACTCCGCCTAATATAAATGTAAAACACAAAACGCAAGATATATTTAGTGGAATTTTTTTTCTGGATCAAAAGAGTTCTTATGACACAAGTAGTACGCATTACTACTGCTTAACGCTTTCGCTTACAATGCCTTCATCAATTTCTTCTGCATCTCCATTATCGCTATTATCTTGACAAGCAACCTGTAACGAAATCAATTATAAATCAATAATATTCACATTAATAATAAATTTTTTTTATTATTATTATGCGTATACGAAATATTTTGAACAATAGCAGCAATTTATACGTGAAAATAATCTAAGAGAATTCTCCAAAAATTATTCACTAACACCATTGTTTAAGACTCTTGCTACAATTCTGATAAATCCAGGAAATAACTCTGGGCATTGGTTTACAAAGTCTTCCCGTAAATCACGCATGATTTCTTCAGCAGCAGCCAAGGCAGCTATCACCACTATTCGATCTGGATCTTCTCCAATTATCTGTATTACGGTGTTTAGTAAATTCTCCAACGCCTTAAAAACCGCTGTAGTAAGTAAAATTCAGATTAAATTTTGGTGTTACGGATGCCAAATCTTAGGATAAAATTTATTATCTGATGTACAGTCTTACTTGGTGCACTTCCACTCTTAAATTGTAGGTGGCAGGCATACAGAAGGCGGCAAAGTGTGGCTAAACATGATACTGCAGCTTTTCGGATATTTTCCCATTCAGACTATTATTTTTAAGTGAATAATACATTAGATGATGCTAATCGTCAAGTTTGCCAATGTTTGGTCCTGCATTTATAAGAGTATAATAGATAGCTTAGACCTACCGTTATCAACTTGTTAACTTCAATTAATGATTCGTCAAGATAGGGGAGGAAGCTATTACTGTAAATTGTAATAGCATTGACAATAGTCCGTCATTAGAAAAATATCAGTTATTTGAAATTAGTAACATCGAGTGATTTAATTAAGATTGGCAAGATGTAGCTTAGTCCATATAGCATAAAATGTTACGATTAATTTAGATATCACTATGTTAATCTTTTGATATTTCTAAAACAGTGTAAAAGGGAGCAAAGCTAGCTCGAAAAAGTACTCTCTGTGCAAATCATGCAATTTAGCATATTACGAACAATCCCCCGTAACTGATTTAAAGACATAGATCAATCAATTCATCATGTGGCAGTTTTTCAATTGGTAATAGTATCGTGTACTCCAAGGAAGATTCGAATAGCTGCTATTATCTATGTCAACTTTTTGTAGGGATGCAGGGTGAGGTGTACACTATATAAAAGTCTATATAGAATTGCTATACAGAATTACTTCTTACCCTATGTTTTTTGCAATTTCACTTATCGAATTGCACGCATCTTCTTTCTCAGCGAGAAACGCATTAGAAACCTCGCAATACCTATTTAATATAATTAGATAAGATTACTATAGACCCAATACCTTTTACAGAAGTTATTTACTTACTTATCATCATCGTCATCATCACTACCGTTATCTTCGAAGTCTATAAGACCAGACAATGGACCGTCTCCAATACCAGTTGGAATCTAACCAATTGAGAATATGTTAGCTAAATTAAAATTTTACTATCAAGAATTGTGTACTGGTAGTGAGATACCAAGAGTCCATCGCGTGATTGAATGCTTGAGATCATACGCATAGCAATTGTATTTATGTATTTCCGAATAACATTTGGAGTGGGATTTGAGATCGCTGCTATGAGTGAGTATCTAAGGCGGAAATGTTAAGATGACATTACTCATCAGGTAGACGAATATGAACATTTACTGTAAAGAGTACTAAGCATAGCTTACATGCACCGCCTTAAATCAGGATCATCAACTTCATTAATAAGATTCTATGGGTAAGAATTAGTAAGAATGACCATATATACATTACGGTGTAGTACTGCATTATTAGTTAAAAAAATCTAACCAGGCCTAATTGGACACACTCTTCGGCAAAGCTGCCCAAAATTTCTTCATTGGTGCACCGAATTAGGCACCCAAGGGTATCTTATAACACACAATCATATGATAGAAACATTTACTACAATGAATCAATGCGATAAAATAAGCTTTTTGGTAAATCATCTATAAGAGAACAAATTAGATTTTATTAAAGCAATATTTGTTGAGTAGTATTCGTACCAATGGCCTGAAGTCTTAAGTCAAAACATTCTCCGGAATCGGCCACGTGCAATATGATATAAGGCTAAATATGAGAAGGTCAAATTTATACATAAGCAACTAAGTATAACGTAAGGAAGAAAGTAACAGTTAGCTAACTTTTAAAATGTCCACAATGCCCTGAAAATACGGTCTAATTGCATCTTTGGCAGCATTAACTGAGAAAAAAAAGTACATTTAGAGAAGTTTTTTAATTGTTTAAATATTCCGTAACAGTCAAATTCGTACAATACATGTAATCTAGTATTATGAATGATTCGTTCAAGATAAAAGCTAAGTAGAAAACCTGTAGCGCCGAGAGCACTTATGGCTAATTCTTTAATAAACGAAATCTAAATCGATAATGTAATCAAGAAAAGTATATTCTTATTAGAATTATTATAGTTTTATATGATGTATGTGAAATCGCTTCTGATCTATCATTGAGGTATTTCGCAGTCCTGTATTTCAGAACTCAGAACTTGATCTACTGTAGTATGATTGTGTGACTTTACCTGTGTATTATTCAAAGTCGCTAAAAGCATTTCTAGAAGGGACTGAAGATATGGATTAATATCGGCATCTGTTAATGGAAATAATTTTGTTTAGATCAACTTCTTCATTAAGTATGCATGACAATTACCACAATTACTTACCTAAATGTTCACAGAATTGTTCAAGCGCATAGTAGGCACGTGAGATTGCGAAAGTTTTGTTAGCAGTGGCTTTCTTAACTAGATTCCCCAAATGATTGAATAGTAGTGGCAGTATATTTGGTGCATATTTATTTACATCGGGCTGCAAAAATAATTGAAAAATAGAAATTTTTTTATGACGATTAGAATGCTACTAGAGATTTGATTAGGTAACTTTACCTGTAAATACATAGCAAATTGTCCCAAAGCATACAATGCAGCGTTCTGTACGATCTCATGATGGCTTTCTATACCTAAAATTTGATAATATTGTAAACCTTAAGGATAAGGTAATTGATTAACCATTTATATAAGTCTTATATTCTTACCTTTCCCAATGCACATAACCATTCTATCTAACAATCTACAGTAGTTGTTTTTACGGCATAAAAAATACAAATAATGTACATTAATAGCATATGGTGATAAAGATTATTAAAACAAGAATGGGTACATATGAATATATAGCCTTTACTTGAATCGTATATATTCACTGCAGCCTTCAGCCACGACAGCGATAGAAACAAGTGCGGCTTTCACTTTTAAAGGTTCCTGGCTATTGAAGTATCGATCAATATAAGGAAACTGAAAAAATGTAGAGATTCTGATAAGCCTGTATGTACACCGTAAATATTCTCGTATATTTATCTATTTTATATCAATTTATGAATTTAGCGATAAGATGCTACTTACTAAGAAAGAGAAGAACGTTTCAGGCGGTAGATGTAGGGCAAAGACGTCAATAAGCTAGTGAGTAACAAATAAAAACATAAATTTCGTAGTTATCGATTGCAAAGCGCGTATTTTGATAAGAAATTCAAGGTAGCATAGTAATGGATCTTGTTTGCTACTATTAATATACCTGCCCAGCATTCGTTACAACAGAGTTTTCACTTTCATCATCATCCATATCAGTGTCATCGCTCGAAGCAGAAGATGACAATATAGGAAATATCACTTCCAGTACCGTTGGAACCAGGTTTAATCTTAACATCGACTGTAAACATTTAAAAATAACTTATTTTAATCGAAGGAATGGAAACATTTAGGAATGAATAGATATCTAACAGTACCTTCTTTTTAAGAGTTGTTACCCAACTTATAAACGATAAGGCTTTGCAACGTGTGCTGTCTTCAAATTGATCATTTTGAGCAATCTAAAATGGGGAAGTAATTCGTACTAATATAGTGGCAATAAGATCTATATTTCTATCGCTTATGAAATATGTAAAGTAATTTATAATAACTTTAACCGTAATAGTAACCGACAATAAAGGATACCATCTAGATTTTACCTGAAGACAAAATTGAATAACTTCTAATAGATTGGAATTTAACAAGTTAATATTAGACTCTGCTATTTGGTCGAAGAATTCCATAGCTTCTTGAGCTCTGATCTATGTGATAATGGATTTAAGATTTTAGTATCATTCTGCTAGTTCATGCAAAATTTCATCCGTATATTAAAATTATAGTGCTGTACCTCATCAGTTGTTAACAGTTTCTTTATAACATCTATGGCTTTGGGAATGAAAGGTTTTATGATAGCCTAGAGAGATATCTTATTCATTAAATAAAATTTCATACGTCGAACATAACTGTAGCTCATGAATAGATATATTGCCATAGTAGTTCATATATGTGATCCTTAACTAATAATGACTATGTATGAGTACTGAACAAATATCTGCAGCCAAACTTACAATATCATTAGGACCTAAATAATCCATAATATTGGTCATTACTCTGAAAAAATGAATATGGTATTACTATATACAAGGCCTTATGATAAACATTAGCTGAAGACCTATGCCAGTATAAATGTATTCGACTTACTCTAAAGCATATGAGCTTATAATGACGTTGTCAGTATTACTTAGGCAAGCACCAAATAAAGGAAATAGTGACGACAAATAAGGTTTTAGCTGTAATAGAATCAATGTGACGGGGGTTAATTTGCTATTTTCAATTAACTCCGGATTTAATGACATGATTTAATTCTCATATGATAATGAAGATTAATATTGCTTCAAAATTATGATTACCGTTTCTCCACCATTAGACGAAATAGATTTTAACACGTGCATTCCAATCTAATTGGAGGTGACAAATTCAAGAGTAGACTGTTAAATATCGCAGTAATCAATGTACTACTGAAATTTTGTTATCTCAACTGTCGAATAACTCCTTACTTCTACTAGCTTTCCATCGGGACTTTTGGTATACTCACTAAGAAGGATCATCAACTCATTCCAATTTCCTTCAGGTAAGTCGTATTTTGCAATTACGCTTATCTAGGTATAGTGCAAATGTGTATGTTTATACATGGCATTTGTAAAATAGAGTAATTGATAACATACAGGTTTATAGTACAGCAGAAGAAGAAATTTCATTATCATCGATAAAAACTTACAATTTCGGCGATAGAGTGTTGAACGATTTTGCTATATTTGAGAATAAAGGTAAGTACTAATTAAAATTAATTAACCCTTGAGCTATTTTTAGCCAGAGCTTGATATTTCATTGTACTTGATACCATAATATAATTTATTATGGTCTACAGTCTATATATTACTTACAAGCAGTAAATATCTCATATTAGGAATACTAAATCAACACAGCAACGTTTAGAGATAGCATATGAGTACAGTAGTGTTACATTTATTTCATTTTCAGACTTACATTGATTCTTGTGTCAATGCTTGTAAACATAATTGCTTCATCCTACGTATTGTAAAAGTATTAATGCATTATATGAGTATATGAACATGTGTGCTAGTATAATCAATTGTTTCACTGACTGCATGTAATACCGCCATATATCTATTAAGGTAATTACTAGTGTTCTAAACACCTTTACTCTAACGTTAGCGTTCGTTGATCTTAAATTGCGATATTTTAGAGGCTACTCAAAATGTACGTAACATGATATTGCCATTATTATTGACGAACATATTATAAGAGTTCTGCTTGCAAAAATGTTAAATATTTTTTAATGATTTTTGGTGATGGCTTATTAAGTTCTCCAGTTCAGAGGTACATTCACGTCTACTGCATGATTTATATTTAATAGATGAGGCATACAGAATTTGTTGCACGATTAACGTCGGTATATTCGGGCATGTTAGGTTTAAATTACCTGAAACGTGAATCAGAATCCAATTTATTCCACAACTTTGATATCTTTCGTCTAAGTAAGATAGCGGCATACTGTCGAACCTTTATAAGATATAAATTAGCTAATAGATTTAATGATTTTTTATATATGTGTAGTGGGTCACAGAAGATTGGTCAAAAGATAAGAATCGTACAGTTTTCCTGCTTCGTAAACATATGAAAAGATAGAAAAAAGCAACATTTCTCACTTGTGGAAATTGGGAAACGGTTAACAAAGAAGCAAGTTGTCCTATTACGGCAGGAGATTTAAGGATTTCCTTCAATTCTGTGGTAGCCTAAGAAGAATAGAGTATTCGTATGATAGAATAATTTCCCAAGATGCGTTAGAAAATTTCTTTATTACTTGCTTGACTAATCTGAGAAGGTCATAATTAGTATCTTACAGTGAATATATCCTTAGCATTAGCTTCTACAACAAGATGACTCGAACTAATTACAGTACAATCAATAGCAAAAGCTTGCAGAACCGTATTATTCATCATCATAGTTTACTGTATATAAATGATTGATTAAATTAATTATACGTCTAGAGCTATTAATGATCGACTGTATTGTGTAAGGTCTTATGTTACTGTAAATTTGGTTTCTGATTTTGTGCTACTCCTACTGTACTGTGTCTATGCAGTCAGTACAGTGGCTATGAAGAAAAAATGGCTAATTTATGACTGCACTTAATACAGTGGATGAATGCCTTCACTGTCATAACTTGGGTATATCAGGTTCAAAAATGTACATTGTACACTCTTCGATGTAATCAATTTTAGTTCATACGTATATCTACGTCCATATTTATCCATTGTACAGTATACGTGAACAAATCAGATCTTAGTTCCATGGTAACAGCTGCACACCTAGTGGTTAATGGCTCGTGTTGCAGTGCCATTTGCGTTTTATAGTGTTACTAGGGTATACAGCTAAAAATTGGCAATTCAGCTAAGCAACGGGTTGACTATCGCTGATTGAGGAGATTCAATGATGGGTGGGTCGGCTGCATCTAAAATTACAAGTACTTCATTTTCGATTCATGCATAAACGATTCAAATTGAAATTTTAATTCATTCCTATAGTCCTAGGTGAGTATCCCGTTCAATAGAATTGGTTTACTATAGCGATTGCAGTTTTATACACTGTCATCTATCAGGCTTAAAGCTAATGATCAACTCACTCACTTTCACTGTTAGCCCTAAAATTTGACAAGTTTTTTTCCTATGAAAATCATGCATACCGTGCTCGACTGTGTTTGTAGAACATTTCTAAATTTAGTCTCTTTATAACATGATATCATGAACGAAATGTTAAGATCAATTTAAACCTGTTGAATGACTGTATTATCCGGTGTTAACAGCCTGCCAAGTATATTTTCAAGTTTAGCAGCTTCGTTTTGGGCCATGATCGCATCCAATTCTGCCTCAATTAACAGTACAGTATGGAATCATTGATTGCATTGATGGAGCTGTAATAAGACAGCGTGGAGCTCAACGTGAGCTTGTGATTGATATGATACTCAAGGGCTGTTTGCGATACTGTCATAACCTCTACGGTTACAGTGTACTGTACAGTACAGTACAGCACCGTATAAGCGTACAGTACATTGTACAACCAGTTCAATACTATGTACTGTTGAAGTGTACTGTACACTTGAGTTGGTGTCCGCACGTCCATCGGCCTGGGTCAAGTTAAGTTGAGGTTGAGTGACACTGTGACAGTCTACCCACAGGAAAACATCGGCCTGTCAATATCAATCAATATACGTTAATCTACTCACAGGAAAACATAGGCCTGTCAATATCAATCCAATATACTGTACGTAAATGGCTGGTCGTAGTCGTCGAAGCGACGGAACTATAGTTGAGTTGGTGTCCGTACGTCCATCGGCCTGGGTCGGAGTTGAGTAACAGTCTACTCGCAGGAAAACATCGGCCTGTCAATATCAATCAATCTACGTAAATGGGTGTCCGCACGTCCATCTGCCTGGGTCGGAGTTGAGCGACAGTCTACTCACAGGAAAACGTAGGGCTGTCAATATCAAGCCAATATACTGTACATAAATGGCTGGTCGCAGTCGTCGAAGCGACGGAACTACGATACAGTATAGTTGAGTTGGTGTCCGTACGTCCATCAGCCTGGGTCGGAGTTGAGTAACAGTCTACTCGCAGGAAAACATCGGCCTGTCAGTATCAATCAATATACGTAAATGGGTATCCGTACGTCCATCTGCCTGGGTCGGAGTGGAGTGTCAGTCTACTCACAGGAAAATATCATCGGCCTGTCAATATCATATACGCAAATGGCTGGTCGTGGTCGTCGAAGCGACGTAAATTATATCAAACCTCAAGTGCCTAAATTCATACAGAAGTTTAAAGATAAAGTAAATTATGTCGATGAACCGACCATAAATACTAAAAAGAATATACCAACTTTGGAAGATTTACAAGATGAAATTGATCGAGAAGACGAACAGCCTGTTGTCGTCTTTGATCCTAAGGAAGTAACTTGTGATGAAGCCGATCGATTTAAGGAGCAACTTTCTCAAAAAAGGCAACATGACGGTATGATTATAGATTATATTGATCATAGACGCAAATACAATCGATCATATGAAACTATTACCTTGAAGTTAGTGAAATACGGTACAGTCAATAGGGATATTGGTGCTATTTTACGTCCATTACTTGTCTACTCTACTCGAAGTTGAAGCTATCTATACCATCTGCGCGTATCTGATAACCGTGATGTAGGTGAACAATTCCAATCAGTTCAGCAGTGCTCTACCAGGGACTGTAAAAAGTACAGTCTTCTGATTTGCGGTTTACTAATTCAGTTATTATCTTGTCCAAATTTAGACTGCTCGAAACGTGCTATATTATATGCACAGTGTACACTGCACAGTACAGTATAGTAGTCAGTAATCGACTATCTACTTGGTAACTTTAATGTGTTGCAATCGCATTAAAAAAATGCAATGGATATTGATAGTTATAGAGCAATACTTGAATAATGAAATACATATTCTACAAGCTTCAATATGATTGTTTATTTAAAATGTAATATAATTAAATAGACGAAGAGCATGAATCTACAAGCGAGGTGTCCGGGACTAAACACGTATTCAAAAAGAGAGCCAAGAGCAGTGAAAATTCGAATGAACGAAATAATAGTAAATTTTCGACGAAAAGTTCGGCTAGTTCGGATGGAAAATCTAAAAAGAGTGACATGAAGAGCATCAAGAATACAAAATTGCTATCATTTGATGATGAAGGCTTGGAGGAATAACTGTATTTGCCATGTGAATTAATGACATAGACTGTCGCTGTCTTGCATTGTATAAATATTAGTATACGTATAGCGTAGGCTATAAAAGGGTAGAATGGATTGGCACAACTGCGTCAATCAATGATCAAGCGATAGAGAATTGTAAAATGATGTACGCCTGATTCTCAATATTTGGAATATCATGCATAGGACGATAGGCAACCAAGGACTGATATTTTGTCCTCTGCTATGATAAAACCGTAAAAATTGTATATGGATATAGATGTAGTGTACATACAACTGTTTGTGATACAATGTATTATACGCGTAAATATACAGCTCAAATTAATGATAAGTTCATTAAAAAGTAATATTCTGTTGTTGACAATAACTGTTCAAGACCCCATCGAGATGCTGCAAGCTTAACATCTGCAAGTCCTTGACTATTAATGAATATACTGTATGTAATTGAACGGTAAGTGATCCGTGGATGAGAGAATTTTCTGTATTAGTTTTATTTTTAGACTAGCTGCTAGAAAGACTATTTAGCTTCTTTTCTTAGTATTATAGCATTACAGTATTAATGCCGTATAAGTACGTGATATTTCTACCGATGGCTGTAATTATTCTCTTGGGAAATTTTGCATGCGGAATTTTGAATGTAAACCTTGTCAAGGACAAGCCAGGCCCGTCGTCATCTGAATCAGGGACCTAGTAGTATTATAGCATTACAGTATTAATGCTGTATAAGTACATGATATTTCTACCGACGGCTATAATTATTCTCTTGAAAAATTCTATCCACTGATCGCTAAAGGGAAATTTTGCATGCAGAATTTTAAATGTAAACCTTGTCAAGGACAAGCCAGGCCTGTCGTCATCTGAAACAGGGAGCTACAGGCTACAGTACATTAGACCTTTTCCAGCAAAATACTGTACTGTACAGTACTGTAGATGGCTGTCTTTTAATTAATGTACAGTACAGTACGTGCTGCACGGTGCTCGTGCCAAAATTACAGTATTTACACTGCAGTATTTTACCCACTAGTCCACAGTTAGCGGTGCTGCACAGTGTACAGTGCTAACTACTGTGTATAATGCACTTTACACTCTACAGTACTCTACCGCTACAGACTACAGGACAGAAGACGGAGAAAGCGCCAAATTCAAAAAAGTGTACGTTATTTACTGTGAGTGTACCAGCTGTGCTACATCCCCTTGCAACGTACAGTACTGTAAATGCGCAGTGATCCAGCCAACTGGCTTTAATTTTAATTGAAATTTTGTATTCAAGGTTGTAACGTTGCGAACGTCACCTTTGAAGTGATTCATTCTACGGTTGAACTGGCGACACTGTAGCGGCTCGTTTTGTAGCCCGTGGTAGACTGAACAACATCAGTGGCTGGAGGCTTTCTTCGTTTTCTCAAGTTTATTAATTGCCTAAATTTGTAGAATAGATAGAGGACAGGTATGAAATCATGCAGAAATAATCAATACGTTTGCAGCAGTAGTCTTGTCATTTTTCATCAAGCGATGCAAATTAAAATGGTGTTAATGGTATCAACTTTGCATCCGTTACAGAAGATTTTAAATAAACTTCGTAGTTTATACATGATTTCTACACGTATACTATACTCTTCAGCAAACATAGAGTAGACTTAAAATAGTATAGTGTGGTATTAAAGGGGATGCATTGATCAAAATTCAAATGTTTACTGTGTTTTTACGTGAAAATATCATAAATTGTACAGTGTACAGTACAGTAGTTTAGTATACAAACGGGGTAAACTTGAATAGTAATGGGTAAATTAATTTCCTAAGATAACAACACTTGGCCTTATTGTGAATTTGTCCTTTTTGATAGATATGCCAAAAGAAAATTCAAGGTAAGTTATCCATGTCATCTTACTGATTATTGATCAGTGCTATGCTAAATATTTGGTTAATCGAGCGTTTGCATGCTTTCCTTACCTGCTGATTGACTAATAATTATAATTATTAATGAATTAAGAATTAATTACAGCATAACCTAACCAATTCATCCTTCTGTCGTGATAATTAATATATCATATCAAAATACCGATTGGATGAGTTGTACAACTTAGCTTGTTGAGTACAGTACTGTAGACGAGTCGACAATAACGTCGATTAAAATCTTGCAAGTAAAGGGACATTAAGTTTTGCGTATGATACTGTGCGTGCTAGCGACAGAACTTTTATTATTAAATGTACAGTTGATAGAAAAGTTGACTCAAAAAATTAAAGTAACCATGTTCGTCGACAAATCAATGAGTACCTACACTTTACAGTACGGTAGTCCATGGTATAGCATAGAGTCGTGAACAAGAATAGTAGCCATACACATACGAAAAATTACACTGTTTGATGTAACGTGTTAAAACCTTGTATGGCTATAGAGAAGAAGATACAATTAACGTTTGCGTTCGGATACGCCCACCAGAAGGAATCGATACTAATCGTGTCGAAAAGGAATGCTGCATTACTGCTAAGAATACCACTTCATTGCTGCTTAAAAGTAAACCAGATGATAAAATATTCACCTATGATTATGTAGCAGATATTGCTGCCACCCAGGTAATAATATTACTGAACCTTTGCAAGACACCACATACAGTATACTATACAATTGATATTAGTGCTAAGAGTTAGAAACTCATTACTTTCATACATTCATAAGCCAAAACTTTCAAGAGTTCCTTAATAGCTCAGTTGATCAGTCATATGGGTAATGAGCTAATTTTACTGAGCGATGTTGATGATTTAATGTTATACAAGTAGAATAAAAATTATCAACTGGCTGAAAAATGTCTGCAATATAGAATTTATATCATCGCTTAAAGTGTTCATTGTAACCGCTCTGCCCAATAACTTTACTAATGGAACTAATATTCTCGTAGGAGGAAATCTTTGCTTCTGTTGCAAAAGGAATAGTAGACAGCTGTGTGGCAGGCTACAATGGTACAATTTTTGCATAGTACGTATAATGTTATCACCGATACATACAAGTACATAACACGTTGAACTTTATGCTTTAATTCTAATTTTAATTACTACTTATTACGCTATTGGTGCAGTGGCCAAACTGGATCTGGTAAAACTTTCACCATGATTGGTATGTAAGACGTAGGCTTTATCAACGATATTTTTTTATTGCAGCATACAATAAATACTCTTCTTATGTAGCCATTAATTTCATAAATTGACATCGATATTCATATCTTTTCTTTAAATATTATTGACTTGCAAATGACAATAAATGCAGGGCCTTCAGAAGAGTCTGATAATTTAACACATCAATTACGTGGTATTACCCCTAGGTGTTTTGAGTATTTATTTAATCTCCTAAATAGGGAATTACAAAAAGTACGTACATATTTCAGGAGTAATTGTTTTGAGTTATAGCTAACTTAAACGTCCTAAGCAATCTTTTATAGGTATTTTTTGGCTAAATCAGAAAGAATACTATCTTCTAACTGTCTATCATCTTCTTTTTACTTGACATATCTACATAGAATGGGGACAATATAGAATTTTTATGTAAATGCTCATTTCTGGAAATTTATAACGAACAAATATATGATTTACTCGATGTTACATCCATAACGTCCTCCGGATTACATATCTACGACATAAAAATAAAAACTGCTGTACTGCATTTAAGTGTACTGTTTGCATTCTCGGAGAATACGTATTGCACATTTGCTATAGTTTAAATATGAATTCATATTTCTTTAACCATATCAACATCTCAGAGAAGATATTAGAAAGGGGGTGTATGTGGATGGGCTCACTGAACGGTATATAACTAATGCTCGAGATGCTTATCAGGTAAAATGCTATTCTCGTTAATAAAATTAAACTTATGAAACAATTGATATTACTAAGTTATTGATCATTCTGGTAAAATTCAGGAATTAATGACTGGCTTAAAGAATCGACGTGTTGCTTCTACTTCGATGAACCGCGAAAGTAGCAGAAGCCATGCCGTTTTTTCATTATCTGTTGAATTAAAGGTAAATAATAAGTATTTAACTACAGACTTTCTGTGCACATTTTTGTATACTTCCTGTATGTCACTTAAACGTAATGTTTTGAATAATACAGTAAATAATTTTTATTACTAACATCATATAATCTGAATATTACTTATTGTTACGTAATAAGGAAAAAAAAGGAAAAGTTACAAATATTCGCACTTCTCGGTTAAATCTCGTTGATTTAGCTGGCTCTGAGAGGCAGAAAGATACACAAGCGTCAGGTGCTCGACTAAAGGCAAGTTCAACTAATAGTTCTAAAAGATTTTAATCTTAAAATATATTAAACTGTTATGAATGTAAAATACTCAATTAGGAAGCCGGTAGCATCAATAAATCGTTATCCGCCTTAGGAAATGCCATTATGGCTTTAGTTAATATTGATCATGGACGAGCTCGTCATGTTCCATACAGAGATTCCAAGTTAACTTTCTTACTGAGGGTAATTATAGGGAAATATTATTTTTGACGTATACTTCTTGTAAGATTTTTATCAATTTGCATATTTACTATATTTTACAAGGATTCACTTGGAGGCAATGCGAAAACTTTTATGATTGCAAACGTCCATCCGAGTAAAAAGTAATTCTTTGCATTAACGGTCGTTAATTGTAACTCTTGCATAACTGTCGGTTATTTGATTAATGTTGTTTAATTGTGTTATTAATCAGATGCTTTGGTGAAACGTTTTCTACCTTAAATTTTGCAAAAAAAGCGAAATTAATTAAAACTAAGGTAATCTTGATTCATAATTTGTCATTTAAAAGTTGTCTAATTTTCTCTAATTTGCTTTTTGTATAATTTTTAAGGCTGTAGTAAATGAAGATACACAGGGAAACATTGAACAGTTACAGTCTGAAATCAGACAGCTGAAGGAAGAATTAAGCAGCGCTAAAGGTTTTCTCTTTTGATTGCATTAGTAATTGACATCTTCAACTATTGATAGCATATTTTATCATGCCTCTGTTATCATAATTATAGTAGTACTGTATAAGTGTATAACGGTAAGGTGAAAGTGTCCATAATACATATTGTAACACACTGGAATACCGTATTTTAGCTCTCTCTACCAGTGATCTCAGCACACTATCAACTGGAAGTAGCGGCGACAATTGGCAGGCAATGTGTATAGCAGCTATGGAAATTCGCGATAAAGCTGAGCAGGAAAAGAAGGTTTTAAAGAACTTACTTATTCCTTATTGTTAATTGTTATGTCATAACTGATCTATCTTAGAATTATAACATATTCTGAATGTCCTCATTCTCTAAGTATCTTGCCGATAAATTATCGAAAAATGGAGAACTATGCCAAAAGAAGGAAAAAATGCTTCAGGTAATGGATTAAAATGTCTGTAAATGGTTAGAGTTTTAAGAAATTCTGGAATATAAAAGTTTAATACGATAGGCTGTTGTTAATTGTTTATATAGAGTACCAAGATGATTTTAAAATTCAGAGACAATTTAATAGCGAAACTAGAATCAAACAAAGAAAGTGTCTTAAACTCTGAACACATCGAAAGCAAAATTGTAAGGCTTCAAAGATTACTTAAAGCTCAAAAATGTGGACTCTTTGAATATTTGTACTCATTTTATTATAATTATCGATAATACTGATATCTGATATCTTTATAAACATTTAATAAAGATAATTCATTTAAAATTGTGCTGCAGGAGATGATGGAAAAGGAGATCGAACAGCTTCGATATCAGATTGAACATCATCCTGATGTTACTAGATTTGCCACGGAAAATTTAGATTTAAGGGGTAACGAAAAGCTAATACCATTGTTAACTATAATCTTGTCTATCCATGAATAATTTATATAATTTTACAGCGGAACTAAAAAGGTTACGGAGCCGTACACCGAATGATAGTAGTTTATCGTCAGAGCTTACCAAGATCCGCCAGTACACATTATTACTAGAGAGAAAAATTCGAAATGCTACTGGCGATGCAGGTGCATAAAATGAATACCTTGCCTCTTTTATACTATGCTTCTAATTGATTACATATTACAAACCCTTATACTTCCCTATTTATCATATACCCAACCGTACTAGTAAGCCATGCATATAGTACAATATAGCTTTTTCTTTTAAATAGGAGTTGAAGTTAAGACTGAAGTGAATAAAGATGAAGTTAATGCAGAAATAGATCACCTACGGAAATTAGCCCACGACCTCCGATCCGAACTACAGGCGGTATGTAGCTTGTATTATATTCGTGATTACCTAGCAATACATGCTATTTTACCTTGGTCATTACTAAATTTTGTTGTGATATAGGTAAAGATTGAATCAAGCGAGCAACAAGAAATATCTAACAGAAAAATGGCAGAATATGAAACGGAATTAACTTCGAATAAGAAAATGCTAGAGGAAATGGAGGTACGGTCTTTAAATATAAATCAGATTTTATTGCTGGTTCGTGATGAATTCGTTAATATCTTACTCCTAGAATGCCATAAAAGCTTTACGCTTAAAAACAAACATGGAAAGAAATGCTTTGAATGACCTACATTTAAAAACTATTAAGGTGCTACAAACATGACTGGACATATTCTGAATGCTGTGTAACTAGCTAAAAATGAGATAAATGTGTGATTATTGCTCATCTTAAGACTATCACAACGCCTACGAGAAAGACAATACGATTGTCTATTGGGACACCAACGAGTCAAAATATTCCAGAAACACCGAAAAGCAGTAGAATAAGGAGAAGTTCAGAAGATCAACAGACTTTATCATCATTACCTGTGCATACACAGATACCAACTGATGTCAACACCGATAAAGAGTTAGAACTATTAGAAGCAGAAAAACGTGCAGAAGCACTCACAGAAGAGTTAGGCACAGTACAAGTAGGCGTATAATTACACAACATGCATGTTTTATAATCATAAAATTTATGTACTCATTTCAGTGTTTCTTATTTAGAAAAAGTTAACGCAATGCGTTCAACAACTAGAAAGTTACGAAATGACTGTTATGAAACTCCGGCAAGAAAATTGCAAATTGGACCAAGCAAAGCGGGTTCAAGAAGAGGTTATTCTGCAAATCTCTTACAAATCAATATTAAATTTTATTGTGAATAATGTTTTAAATATATATTCATAGCTTACTGATTTTAATTATAACGCAGAATCTAGAGAAGGAAATTAACAGGCATCATGCAATAGAGACTGAACTTAATGATAAAGTGAAAGAACTTAGTGCAGGCATCCAAGCAGGAAATGAGAAATTACGAGGTAGCTGCATCTACTGCAATATGTTGGTACTGAATAATTTTTTGAGTTTGAGTATCAACTGATTAGCTTCTAATTATTCCATACTCGTACTTGGTGAATCAATAACTGTAGTATAATGGATTATCAAATTATCGATGTTTCACAAAGTGCTTAACGTTAATATTAGGTTTTCAAGGCGAAATTATGAAACTTGAGTCTAATCTGGAGGAAGCTCGTGCCGAAAATCACTTACTTCGACGAACAAAAGAGGAAGATAAAAATAAAATTTCTAGTCAACTTGCAAAGTTGGAATCCAGAATTGTAAGTGCAGATCTAGAACTGTCTTCGAAGCAAAGTGAACTATCGACTATCTTGGAAGATAAGCAAAGGCTGCAGGTTATTCTCTTTATCATTATTGATTGTCAGAAGACTATTTTGGTAATTTTTTGGTTATTGGACAGGATGAACTGGAAACAGTATCTGAAGAATTACAGTTTACTAAGCATATGACAGGCGAGTTAGAGGAACAACTGTCCGTAGAAATTGAGGCTAAAAGAGTTTTAGATGAAAAGATTGGAAACCTAATGGCAATGCTCGATAATGAAAAACAAATAAGCACGCAATTGCTAGCAAAGATACAATTGGAGAATGATAACACAGAAATTGTTAAGGAAAAGCTATCCGAGAATACTGCTTTGCAGGTAGAAATAAGCGAAATAGCTGAGAAATATAAAGATCAATTAAATAAGACATCGAAAATGGAAGAAGAGTTACAAGAAAGAAATTCTGAAATATCAAAGTTACAAAAGAAAGAGACCGAACAGAAGGTTAATACTTTTTTAAATTCTACACTATTGGCTTACGTTAAAAACAAAGATATTCATGTTCTGGTCCTATTTTTTAGAACGAAACAATGGGTTTATTACAGGCCCTGCGCGATTTAAAGACAGAACTATCAGAGAAAGATGTAATACTTATATATTTTACTTTGGATACAGGTTATGTAGTCAGCACAAAATTATCACATCTTTTATTCTGCCTAGGAACAATTGATAGCTTTGCAAAGCGATTTAAGTGAAGCAAAAGCTCAAATTACCGAATTTGAGAAGTACGAATCTGAACAGGTATGCAAAATAATAGTCCTAAGGACTTTGTGCTTAATGTGTTGTAATATGCATATGTAAACATTTCATTACTAGATGAATGCTATTAGATTCTAACGTTGTCTTTATAAACGAAAAGGATAAGTTAATAACAATGTTGCGCTCCAAAGTTACTGAATTAGAGGAGAAGCACGCTAAAATGGAAGCATCGTACCAACTGGAGGTTATATCATAATGTAAACTGTGATTTATTCTGCTAGCTAATTGAATTTGGTCTAAGTTTTATAACTCCGCCTGTAGGTTGAAGCTTTAATGGACGACAATGAATCGTTATCGGCTGTATTGGATCAGCAAACGCTACAATTAGCTGCATCTCAGGTTCAAAGAATCAACAATATTTTATCAAAAATTATTCTTTAAGAGATTGGTTATTGTATTAAAGTTAAAGAATCTGCACCTTTCACTATTAATAGGATCAAGTACAGTCATTAACTAATAAGTTGGACTCTCTAGAAACTGAGGTACAAAAAAAATGTTTACTTCTTTATATTATTTATACGAATCTTTATTTGGCATTCAAGTAATCATAAACTAGGGCACTTAATTTTTGCATGCATAAACGTATTTTAATCTACTCAGTTAAAATCTCGAAAGAAACAATTAGATGAATTAAAAGAAGATTACGGGAGACGATTGGAAGATCTCCAGGATGAGGTAATTTATAACGCGAGCAAATCATACTGGTGCACAATCTTGGCTTCTTTCGTGTTTTAAGCATAATGAGACTTTTAAATTACAATTTTCTTTTTGATCAGATGTCAAAGAAGGCAGATCCGAACGATGTTTGCAAATTAACGCTGGAGATCGAACAATATCCTAGCTATTTAAGAAGCTTTAGTTGCACCGTTCGTTATATTGAGTACAGAAATAATTAGATATCTATACGCGTATAGTAACTGTCATTACTTTTTATTGTTAATGTCCTTAATTAATATTAACGTTAAAAGAGAAGCTTCAGGTTCTATCCAAAATAATAGAGGAGTATGAAAGAGGTCGTGAAGAGAAAAATTCAGAAATACAATCTCTTAAAGTAAGATGATAATTCTGCTATGTAATAGCGCCATCGGTACATGTATTGATAACGTCATGATTGATAACTGCTACTCTGTTATAATTGAAACGAAAAAAATCTGACCATCTATGTAGGCGCAGTTGTCTAATCGATGTGACATCGACGTTCTATTGAATAAATATAATAAACTTGAAATGGAGTTTGAGATCGAAACAACAGAGTGGAATGATAAGTATGCGTCCCACATAGGTTTATTGTTGATAATTTATTTAAAGTAGAATGAAATTGATGCTACTGTATAATATTCTTCAAAGATTGTGATTGCCTATAATTAAAATTCGTATTACTACTATAGATATCAAATTTTACAGTCAGAATTACAAGAAGCTAATTCACGAG